ATGTCCCTGGACTGTTAAACGAACCTGTAAAGTCCCTGCATTGTTAAACGAACCTGTAATGTCCCTGGACTGTTAAACGAACCTATAAAGTCCCTTAACCGTTAAACGAACCTGTAAAGTCCCTGCATTGTTAAACGAACCTGTAAAGTCCCTGCATTGTTAAACGAACCTGTAAAGTCCCTGCATTGTTAAACGAACCTGTAATGTCCCTGGACTGTTAATCGAACCTATAAAGTCCCTTTACCGTTAAACGAACCTGTAAAGTCCCTGCATTGTTAAACGAACCTGTAAAGTCCCTGCATTGTTAAACGAACCTGTAATGTCCCTGGACTGTTAAACGAACCTATAAAGTCCCTTTACCGTTAAACGAACCTGTAAAGTCCCTGCATTGTTAAACGAACCTGTAAAGTCCCTGCATTGTTAAACGAACCTGTAATGTCCCTGGACTGTTAAACGAACCTATAAAGTCCCTTTACCGTTAAACGAACCTGTAAAGTCCCTGCATTGTTAAACGAACCTGTAAAGTCCCTGCATTGTTAAACGAACCTGTAATGTCCCTGGACTGTTAATCGAACCTATAAAGTCCCTTTACCGTTAAACGAACCTGTAAAGTCCCTGCATTGTTAAACGAACCTGTAAAGTCCCTGCATTGTTAAACGAACCTGTAATGTCCCTGGACTGTTAATCGAACCTATAAAGTCCCTTTACCGTTAAACGAACCTGTAAAGTCCCTGCATTGTTAAACGAACCTGTAAAGTCCCTGCATTGTTAAACGAACCTGTAATGTCCCTGGACTGTTAATCGAACCTATAAAGTCCCTTTACCGTTAAACGAACCTGTAAAGTCCCTGGACTGTAAATCGAACCTGTAAAGTCCCTACACTGTGAATCGAACCTGTAAAGTCCTTGGACTGTAAATCGAACCTGTAAAGTTTCTGGACTGTGAATCGAACCTGTAAAGTCCCTGCACTGTAAATCGAACCTGTAAAGTCCCTACACTGTGAATCGAACCTGTAAAGTCCTTGGACTGTAAATCGAACCTGTAACCTATTATATGGAGCGATATTTACTTTTGCATTGACAGTCCCTTATTCTTTTTTTTCTGATAATTCATGATCTTTGTTGTAAATATGAAAAACAAATGTCGTCTTCATATTACACACTTTTCTGGTTCTCACTGTAAAAAAAATTTCCCATATTTCCTTTGATTTTATCTCAACATCTATAGTCGAGAAAAATGCCTGAATGAAATGATTAATTCTATTTACATATTTATAGAGTTCTCTAGATGTTTATAGAGTTCTCTAAATTTGTTTTTGTTTGTTAAAAAAGTACTTTCTGAATTGCAGAAACGGAAGAATCCCTTTAAAAATTTTGAATCTATTCTCCTTCTGAGAACCAGGCTTAAATATATTTGAATTACTGGATTGTTTAAAACATATTGCAGAAGTTAAAAACCTTGTAAATACACCCATAAAGGCGAAAGGGGGATAAATGGTAAAGAGGACAAGAAGGGTAAAAGAAAGTGAAAAACATGATCATTTAAATTGAGATAAGATGAGACAGAGAGCGATAGAAACATAAAGTTAAAGTTTTGGAGAGGCTTTGCACGAAATTCCGTTGAGTCATGTAAACCCTGATATGGTTGAAAAGAGCCAATAAACGTTAAAAACAAAACACATCTAATCTATACAGATATTGAGATGCACAGTATATTTTGTATGGTTTGGTGTAAAACTTTATGTTTAATCATTGCATACATGTTCCAGCATGGACTTACTTTACAAAATATTAAAATAATTGTTTACAAAAATTCTTAAAAATCCATGGTGCACAAAAATTATTTTTAAGTCCAAAAAAGATAATTTAAGGGGGGAAGGAAACATAATTTTAGCCCCTTAATTTGATGGGTGTAACTTTTTTACAAGCTAAGATATGATCTATATGTGTGTCTATATCAAACACATAAAATATATATCGACTCTAGCACATAAATCAGATATATATGTATATATAATTTTAGAAATATGAGCCAGGGCGCTTCGCGACCATTTTCTATTTTAACCACTCGTTTAAAAAACTATCGTTTTTCGTTTTTTGCAAGATTAAAACGAGTGGTTGTTTTCAAGAACGATAGTTTATTCTATAACCGAAAAAAAATAAAAACAAAGCGGTAACGATCGTTATTTCAATCGTTTATAAAAAACGATTAACAATCCTACATCAACACATAATTTGTGGTTCATAAACTAGTTCTTGGTTAACCGTATTCCTACTGGGGGGGGGGGGGGTCAATTTGACCCCCTCCGTATTTTTTTTTACATAAATCAAATAGCCCACCCTTTAAGTCTAAAACCGGGCTTTCATACTAACTGCCTGAGTCCTCAGGCAAAATGCCTGAATGACTTTTTTTCCTGTAACAAACTAAATCTTTGTTTTGACCCACTTTCAGTTGTCAGCTTTTATTAATTTAAATTTTTTTTGGAAAGCCTATGACTTAAAAAAACGGAATGCACAATTTTTGTAAAAAAATGTTTTGCTAACTATTTGCATAAAATCCGTCCAACGAAATATGCAAATTTTTAATTTTTCTTAATTACACATCAGGTTATTTAAAATTGACAACATTTTTTTGCATATTTGAATTGGCATGATCAAGGGCTGTTCAAAATAGTATGATTTATCATTTTTGGACATTTTTTTGCAAGCATATTTACTGAATAACTAGATTTAGCAAAAAAAATCAATTTTTGTAAATTTGCAAATGCTTTTGCGGATTCTAAAAGTAGAGTACAAGAGCTTTCCAATGATTTATCATTTGTCATATTTGGACATCAAACATGGAATTTAGAGGGGTGGGGGGGGGGAGTCAAATTGACCCCTCTCCAGCGTATCCTGGTTTCAAGTACCCCAGCAGGGATAGGGTTAAAAAGAAAAAATCGTTTTTAATGAGTAGAATTTGAGTTTAATAAAAAAATTTTGTGGTTACAGATAAATAACTAATATAATGAAATAAATCTTATTTCTCTTATCTGAATTCTGTTAGATGAAATAATCTTAGTTCGAAATGTCAAAGGAGTACGCACTCAGGTGACAAAGATATAAGACAAAATTCCTTTGTAATTCAAAACTAAAATTATGTTAGCGTATTTTAAATCTTCCTTTTTTGATTTCGATTTTTTTTGTGATCGAATTTATCTGTAAAATATGTTTAAGATCGGGTATATATAAATCTTTTTTGTCAATAATTGGACGTAAGGTTTTCTATACATTTGATAAAAAACAATTTGAAGCAAATTTTATATACTAAGGAACTAAACATTTTCATCACCCTGTGCAATCTCTATACGAATTTGCACATGAGGCAAGTATTCATTTCTATATTCTGAAACATCTTAAAACTCAGATTAAGGAATTAAATTGTTCTGGAAAAACAGCAATATTATTATTAATATTATGATTATTATTATTAATATTAAGATTATTATTATTAATATTATGATTATTAATTGTCTTTTTCTAAAATTTACCATGACATGTTTTAATTGTTTTAAAATTCACAAATCACAGTTCAACAAAATTTGCGACATGCTGGTGTAGTATTCATGGATAGATATAATATATATATATATACACATATAGATAAGTACATTTCATATATAGAAGATGTATCTGATTTGTACCCTGCTGGGTAGAATTAGAGTTTTCAACTTGTAAAACAAAGAAAGGGGCGGAGAANGTTAAGGAGGTGGGAGGAAGAGTTTTTCAAAGGAGGCGAAGGGGGTGTTGGTGAACTACATTTTCAGTAAGGATTTTGTTAAAAATTCCTGAAAGCAAGACTTTGCAGTTTTAGAATATTTATATCTAGGACTACACAAATGGGGTTACACAGTCAAACCTGAGCTAGCAGATCTTTTATTAGCTCTGTAACCACATCAAATACACTTAATTATTACTTTAATGTCGTCTTCATATTTCAAAGTTTTTTGGCTTTATACAGTATAGCTTGAACAAGTGGATCAAACATCCGGACTCTTAAATGAATTCAACGATAAATTGTATTTCTATATTTCCTGTAGGAGTTGGCATTGATAAATTGCACATGTCACTTTATTAAAGGGAATGTTCCCATATTTTAAATATACACAGAATTCATTAAGGTGTACAATAGTTGTATTGCCAAGTGACCCTCCATTTGATGATTTTCTCCGTTCCAACCTTGATGGGATCAATAATGTGACAGATATATCACGGTGGACTAAACCAGTGGGGTCGGTCAAATAGGCCTAGGATTAGACCGGGTACTGTAAAAAGTTTGAACACGTTATGGCAGTTGTCATAGTTAGCCCTCCGACGGGACTATGCCAAGAAAATTGACCCCGGTCGTATATTAGTCATGGTTAAGGCGACGTACTGTACAGAATATGGTCATAAGATCGGGTCAGTACACGCTGCTATCTGGCAGGCCGGTACAAACTTTGCAGGTCCTGTTCGAATTCAAATTTACTATGGCCCAGAGTGATACAGAAGGAGAAGGGCAATTGTATGTAACGTTACTGGAACAACTTTGTAACCTCGAAACTTCTCTTGTATAACACAAGTATAACAAGCACCAGTTTATCAGTTTACACATTAGAAATTAGGAATATTTGATCATTCTTTACAATACCTCTTTAATTAAAGATTTTAATCTTATGTGCAATTTACTTTAGTTAGACGTGATACGTACTAAAGAATTGGAATTTTTTTATTTCAAAAAATGGAACAATCCCTTTAATGACGTCAATATATTATATATATACACATAATATATATATAAATATATATTCTGTATACATGACCTACACGGGGTTCAGGACTGGAATTCTAATTGATAGTATAGAAATTCGTTTAAACACCTGGTAAAGGTTCGATACAGGACATTGATATTATTATTACTATTATTATTATTATTATTATTATTATTATATTATTATTATTTTTTTAATTATTATCTGGTACCTGTATACCCAGTATTTTACATGCTTCTAAAGATCTTGGGCTAGTCAGCACATAGGGGCAGTCAGGGGGCACCTCACTAGATATACAACGTACATTATAGATAGATAGATAGATAGATACATATGGATAGATAGATAGATAGATATGTTTTAGTCTCAATCACATTTTTGTACCTTGCAATATTTAACATGCTTTTATTGAACATTGTTAGAAATGTTTAAGTTAAAAATCTTGAATTATGATTTACAAGGTATAGATGGATAAATATCTGCATGTTATGATATTGCTACACCGCTTTCAGCATAAATCATAAGTGATTCTTGAGCAATTGGGACTGACACAATAGCTCCAAGTAATGCTTTATTAATAGGATGGCATATATTTTAGCAAAAATTATGAAGTCATTTGGCATCCCAATTTTTTCCTCTTAAAATGGACAATTTTAAATTTCGGTTACCCATAAAAATACCATTATGAATAGATATAAATTAATAAATAAATTAATCTTTCCATAGTCCTACATTGTATTCAATTGATCCTTCATAAGTATTGACTTGCAAGGAGAGGTTGAGTCTAAAATAAATTAATTCATACAAAACATTTCAGCCTTGGAACTGTGGTCAGTGAATTTAATAACTAAAATAAGTTAGAATAAGCTTATGAGGGATATTTAATGATTTTATAGGTTTTGAAAACAAGTTATATTAACCTAATAAACTGATCAAAATGTTTAAGGTTAGCGAACCTATTCTCTTATGGTAATTAAACAAACATAAGAAACATTATGGCACTATGATTTTCTAATCCCTATATCTTTGCAACTCAATGTCGTAGACCTTTGATATTTTAAACATTGAATTCTGTTGTTAAAATATTTCTAATTTATATTATCAAAAGTGAAACCCTCTCAGATTAGAAAGATATAGCAATTATAAGATTTGAGTATGTAGCAAAGACTCAATTATTTTGAAGGTGGGACAATGCGCCCTGAATTGTTCCCAAGAAACGTGGGAGGATTGCAATATCTATAAATATGAGTAGTATGAAGGTATAAAGGATTTATTTACATTAATTTACATACAATACAATTTATTATTACCCCAGCAGACCTTCACTCATTTATAAAGTCTGTAGGGCTGTAGTTTGCGTCCATTTCATTAATTCGTTCGTTATCGTTAAGTAAACAAAAAAAAATGAATTATTATGTTCTTTATGTTAAGTAAATTAACAAAAAGAATCATTATGCTCGTTATCATTAAGTAAATTAACAAATAGAATTATTATGTTCGTTCGTTTTTGACTTAACGATTGTTTCTGTTCCTTTACGAAAATTTCCGCAATTCTTTTCAAATTCGTGAATCGATAATTGCCAAGCCATATTACCGTTAAATGAATTATAATGATATTAATAAGAATAATACATATATTTATTTATAGTTATAAAATTTAAAAACCTTCCATATTAAAATTCTTTCTCTGTTAAAACCAATCGTTTTCGTAAAGACACATCAAGATATAGACGACAACTTTAAGTTATTAAAACTTTTAGCAAAACCACTTTCGTCATATTGTGTCGTAGTTGGGGGGCTGATATAGATACAAAAATATCATTCTAGGAATTTAGTTGTTTACATTTATGACATTTTGTGTAATTAAATGATAATGAGAGTCGAGGTTCCAATTATTTTATATAACAAAGAATTAAGAAAAGAAATGACCAAAGATATTTTTTAATATCGGATCCTTACGATTATTATTCCTAACTAAAAAAAAATTTGATAAAATTCCGATAGGGACCCTTTACGTAATTTCAGTTTGCCATTTACATTTACATTTAAATGCCTTATTCAATTGGTTTCCAAAAATCTTTTGTCTAAGCATGAATGATGGCCGACTTGCCCTTATTTTTCTAGAAAAAAAACAAAAACAATATCCGATAAAAGAATAGAGAGTAAAATTTACCTTGGGACATCAAAGTTTTCAAGAGTCAGGTTTAGGCTCTCAAAATTCCTTTCCAAGGCTTGACTTTGTTGCTGATCACAATCTCCTATCAAGACTTGATCTTGTTGCTGATCAAAATCTCCTATCAAGATTTGATCTTGTGAATGATCATATTCTCCTTTCACTGGATTACACGAAGAAGGTTTCTGGCTCTTAAATGGATTGTTTTGTCCTTGAAACGGAATAGTAGATTCAGTTTCACGAAAGACTTGTTTTTCATTTTTTGTCTCGGTTTTTTTTTCTTCAATTTCCTCAAATTTTTCACTACTTAAATCTAATTGGTAGTCTTTTTCTTTCGGAGTTTTTTCTTCTTCATCTTTTTCATTTTTACCTTCTGTACTCGAGGGAGCGTGCTCCGAATTCAAGGGGGTGTGCTCCGAATTCAAGGGAGTGTGCTCTGAATTTAAGGGGGTGTGCTCCGAACTCAAGGGGGTGTGCTCTGAATTCAAGGGAGTGTGCTCCGAATTCAAGGGGGTATGCTCAATAATAGGTCGAGCTTCATCATGCTTTTCTTCTGAACCTGAAAATAGATAATAGACATTAATCATAAATAATATTTAGCATATTTATAGCCGATATAATTTGTAATTAGTTCTTATTCATTCATAAACAGCACACACACCAGGGAGTAAGTAACAGGCGGGGGGAACGTCATGTGTGTGTGTCTGTACCAAAAGAGTGTGTGTAAGGATACCGTACCAAAGGTGTGTACTGTAGGTTTATACAGTACGTATGCATCTCGGTATTTGCACAGTCTAGGAGAGTACATTTGTTAATTGTTAATTGTTTACTTAAAAATAAGTTTTAAATGCATGTAATATATTATTTACATATTTAAGTCAACACTATAAAGCCAAATTTTCATGCAAAGAATATAACTTGATAAAAGTTTACAATAAATATAGTCGTTATTCAAGCTTAATTATAATTGACGACATTGTTCTGCAATTTCCTTGACTGTAATCATGTTGTGTGTCTGTACCAAAAGAGTGAGTGTTAGGTTACCGTTCTGGTCTGCAAAGCAGTGCGAATGGCTTTCTCATGCCAGACCAGCGCCATTTCCTTTCCCTTTATTCCTATTCCCTGGTTAGGAATAAAAGGGAGATATAATTGACGCGGTTCGCCCTACCATATGAATATACATGCTTTGCAGACGGTACTTCATTTGAATAAGAAATATTTGTCTAATGACAATTACTGCGTATACAATAACCTATTCTGAATATTTCTTATACAAATGGAGTACCGTCTACAAATTATGTATAATCATATGGTAGGGCGGGCCGCGTCATTTATATCTCCCTTCTATTCCTTACTCCCTGACACACACACATATCTTTAAATTAAATGGAATAAAAACACTATAATAAATTAATTTGTAATTGTATTTATTTCTAAAAAAATGAACTTAATAAAACCGGGTTTAGAAAAATAAATCCAATTGGTTTGATTATTTATTTTTTCTTTACTTTTTTTTTAACACTTTTCCTTTAAAAACTTGTTGACTAGTTTTTTTAGAGTCTGAGCAAACTCAAATCAAAATTCAAACACTTAAAGTTTTTGTAAAGTTTACTCGCATGATTCAGTGAATATTACGGAATATTACGTTGCCACTTTTGTACTTGACCAGACGAAATACAAAATAATAATGTATGATGGTTCAGCTGAAGATAAAACATGAATGAAAATTTATTATGAGCCAATTGAAAATATGATGTTTAATAATGCTGTTCTGATCGGTATTTGGTGAAACATATTGAAATCTCAACTGAATATACGTTCCACGCACCTCTGACCCTTCAGTAAAAGTAAATTTAACTTAAAGTCTGACCGCGTCAACCTTGTTGCACCGGCTAGTCCTATCGAGTGTCTGCCCAATGACCGGGCGATACAGTAAAAACTGGGACTGGAAAAGTTGACCCGACTTGGAAATGAACTACGGATGCCTGTGGTTCATCGTAGATTTACAAGTAAATACTTAGTCAGCACTTAAATAATCAAAACATTTTCAGGAATGCATTAATTTTTCTCTGTCTTTCTTTACTTTATTTCTTTTTATTCTTTCTTTCTTTTTTCGTTCGTTTTTTATTTATTTTTTTTCTTTCTTTTATTCTTCCTTTCTGTCATTCTTTCTTTCTCTTTTTTTTCTTGATTACATTCTTTCTGGCTTTCTTTCTTTCATTATTTTTTCTTTCTCTCTTTCTTTTTTTCTTACGTTTCTTCTTTCTTTTTTTTTCCTTTTTTTCTTTTTTTCTTTCTTTCTTTCTTTCTTTCTTTCTTACTTTCTTTCCTGTTTTTTTTTCTTCATTTTTTTCTTTTTTTGATTTTGTTCTTTTTTTCTTTCTTTATTTTTCTTCTTTCCTTCTTTCTTTCATATTTTTTTCCTTTCTTTCATTTTGAATTTTTTTTGAATTTTTTCTTTTTTTAATCGTTCATTCTTTCAATCTGTGTATCTTTCTTTCTTTCGTTCTAAATCATTGACTCTTTTCTTAAACTGCTGGAGGCCATATTGGTTTTACAGATGTATCTTCGTATTATATTCTTTGTAAATATACAATAGAGGATCTCAAAGCGACTTTTAATGTAGACCCCGCGGCTAAAGATAATCATGTTTATGTAGATTATATAGTTTAACATCTTTATGTAGATTAAACAATTTCTGAGTTAAATAATGATTGCTGTTGTGTGTAAACGCATATTTAAAATTCATGAATCCATAATACCTTTTTAGGATACAAGTGACGGGCTCAGTTAAATGTAGATAAAAGAGGTGCTCTTTGGTTGCAAACTTGTACCTTAAAAACTGTACGTACAAATGTCTTCGGCGGATTTTCCAAAATTAAAATCGATGTTTTTATTAACTTCAAAGCTTAAAAATGAAGACCAAAAACAGATATTTCATCTGATGATAGACAATTTTACAGTGTATCTACACATCCATTATCATATGATCGATATGATTTAGCTCAAAGAAACTATATTTTATGATAACATTTCATCTATTTTTGGACTGTTCACAGACCTTAGAAAAATTTGGGGAAGGGTGTGGGGGAAATTATACGATTACAGTCTTATACGGACAGATCGTTTCAATTTACATAACAAACCTACAAAATCAGACAGACACTAGACAGACACCCATTCAGACGACCAGAGATAAAAGACATGTATGACATAGAAACAGAAATTTATAAACATACCGAAGTGCAAAACAATAATCTATATTTATGCATTTTCATAAATAACAAATGTGCAAAAATGAAAAAAAAGAATTTAAAGAGTCAACAAGCGTAAACCTGCAAGTGATTCTCCTATGCTAAGATGACAATGCCTGATTTACAACGGTACACTTAAAAGCTTTGTCTGATTAAGAAGGAAGTAGATATATATCCATGTTTTTGTTGATTTAAATTGTTTATTTTCATTTGTGGTTTCTCTTCATAAGTAACTTTTTTGCTTTTACGAAACAAGGAAGAAATTCACAGAAATAAACATTTTTCGAGTCATGAAACCAAGGTTTTCTTCTTTATTTTTGATCAGATTAAGATTTTAAGAACACCGAATTGTGATTCGGGCATTGCCATCTTTGCATGGAGGGTCACTTAAAACAAGGCGTATGCAGTTCTTTTTAAGATGAAAAAATTCAAACTATTTTTCAAAGATTAAACTGCAGTTTAAATCATTTTTTTTTTTGACGATGCATTTTCAATTGAAGTATCTGTCTTCAAGAACGCTCTGCAAACAATAAGAGAAGGAGAAAGTCAAATTTATTTAAATGTGTGATCTCGTAGCTCCTCTAATAGGAAAGACAGTTTATGTGCTTACATACTGGACATTCTAAACATTTATATTCCTCTCAATAGCTCTGGGGAAAAAAGGAGTTATGATTGAAAAATATAAGATTTCATTCAAACGTGAAATTGACTTCAGTTTAACGTGAGCGATATATCTTCAAACTTTTTCTCTGAAACAATATTGAAGATCCAAGATTAACCACAAAAGGTTAAGGTTTAAATGATCAGAAGGTCAACTGTGGTCTCTTCTAGTAATAAATATTACGCATTTGAAAAAAATGAAAAAAATACAAAACACAAAGGGAGACATGTTTGCCCTTAGCCCTGTAATTTATTTTGTTATTTTAATAGTATCGAAGTATAAAATGTTAAAATTCAAACTTTTTGATTCCATCGTGATATTCAATTTGATTTTTTTTTATCATCAGAAATTAGACAATGTTTTCCCAAATAAAAAAGTAAAAAACTATATAGAGAATACAAATAATAAAAATACTCGGTTTTCTTAATATTTCTAGTTTTTTCCTTTGTGAGATTTTATTTACAGATCATCACTTTCAGCCTTTCAACTAATCTTAATTATTTTAATTGAAATCCTGTCAGGGTCATAATATGGTCTTATTCTCACAAAAAAAAATGTACGCTCATTTGGTTCAGCCGTTTTTGAATGACATTGGTGACACCATCAATAATCTCAGTAACGGGAAAATTATAAAGGAATTGAGCTTTTGCCACAAACTCTGATTTATGAAACCAGACCAAAAATATTTTACACATGAATTATGTTAGATCAAATATTCTAAGTTTAAAATATCAAAGATTTACATTAATACATTTACACTGCCCAGATATGGGGATTAGAAAATTTGAGTCAGTGGCAAAGACTCCCTTTTTTTAAATATAAAAAATGCATACCTTTTATATCCTGTTCCATAAAGGCTAGCGTATTGATATCACTTGATAAACATTACACGACTTAATTCACTAAAACATCACTTTTTGCCAGTTCACAGAATTAAATAAACTGAGTGCGTCGGGCAGGATGTATTAACTGCTCTGGGTCCAAAACTTGACTGAGCACTGAGTAGTGAGTAATATTGAGCGAATATAACCGTATAGTGTTGCTGTGTGGGCGGCGGGTGGAAAACTCTCATTGTGTTTCAACTTCACAGAAAATTAAGAAAGTTTAGCAAAATTTAAAATTAATCCATAGTTATCCCCTCTTCAAATTTAGTTAATCATCTGTATCACTTGGTTCATTTTATCTAATGAAATTTTGAACATTATAAACAACCCAACTCTGTGCTAAAATTATCCCATGTCATTTTTATATTCAATGTTAAGGTGTGTCAAATTTTTCCCATTTTCTGTGGAATACGATGCCAATTCTTTACGTTATATATGTTATAGTGGATTCTCGTTTTTTACTCTTTGTTACTTTTTCCCCCATGAAAATTGATTAATTATTATAAAGGTGTTTAAGTATTTTTGAATTTTAGATAACAACATGCATTTTTTGTCAAAAATCATAAAGCAATGCATTGTTTTAGATCAACTCCAAAAACCCTAAAAACCTCATATTTATTTTTATGTGAGTAAAAATATCTTATTATTGTGTTTACATGTACAATCGATACTTACCCTATTCTTGGTAGTCTTAATCTGATTATTGCTTCTACTGATACATTTTTAGAACACATTTATATCTTATATGTTTCACTGGTAATGATTCATTCGATGTATATATATGTCCAAAAACCACATTTATAAACACGTCTTTAAAGGGAATGTTCACGAAAATGAAAGTGGGTATGGGCTTACGGCAAAAAATTAGCGCATTTTATCGCTACTAATCTGTTGCGTCTATCAGGAGAAAATTGTTAATAAAAACTTATACTCATGAACGTAACAGAAATTCAAAAAATGTGGAAATAACATCTACAGATATTTTGTTTGGAATTAAATTGATTATTTTACGATCACAGCTGAATGGTGCAACTTTCTGAATGTATATGGACGCTACGTTCTTCAGCATGAGTCGTTTTTAGCAATTTTCTCCTTATAGACGCAACAAGTAAAAGAAAGATTTTTTGCAACCAAAAAGCGATTATTTTTCGCCGTAAGGCTATACCCCCTTTCATTTTTTTTGTGAACATTCCCTTTAAGAATAAAAAAGTTATAATTTAAATATATATATGAATATATATATTTCAGACTCTACTGTCAAAAGATTTGGCGATACTGATTTAGAAAATCAAAGTTAATCTTTTAAATTTTTAAATTTCTATTAATTCAGTTCTGAAGCATGTAATTCTAGTATAAAACTCTTTTCCTAAAACATTGTTAAAATAAATTTCTGGTAAATCATTTACAGATTATTTAGATCCTCTTCTAGTTTCCACTTAACAAACTATCTTAATTTTCAGATTCAATTCTAACTTGACACAATCCACATGGCTACAATCCCGGGAATTATCAACGCCAATCTTGTTAGTTATCAGTGTCAATACGAACGCTAGCAATCAAATTGATCAATGTCTCAAACAGGACACAACCCATACAGCTACAATACCATGACTTACCAATACCATAATCTAGGTGCAATCTTGTTAGCTATCAGTGTCAACATGGACACTAGCAATCAATTGATCAATGTCTCAAACAGGACACAACCCACACGGCTACAATCCCAGGAACTATCAACGCCACAATCTGGGTGCAATCTTGTTAGCTATCAGTGTCAATACGGACACTAGCAATCAATTGATCAATGTCTCAAACAGGACACAACCCACACAGCTACAATCCCATGACTTATCAATGCCATAACCTGGGTGCAATCTTGTTAGCTATCAGTATCAATACGGACACAAGCAATCAATTGATCAATGTCTCAAACAGGACACAACCCACACAGCTACAATCCCATGACTTATCAATGCCATAACCTGGGCGCAATCTTGTTAGCTATCAGTGTCAACATGGACACTAGCAATCAATTGATCAATTTCTCAAACAGGACCCAATCCACATGGCTAACATCCAGTGACTTAATTATGCCACAACCTGATCAATTAATCAATGTATCATACAGGACATGATCCACACAGCTACAATCCCATGACTTATCAATCCCACAACCTGGGCTCGGTCTCAATAACTATCGGTGTCAATACGGACACTAGCAATCAATTGATCAATGTCCAAACAGGACACAATTCACACAGCTACACGCCCTTGCCATCAAATAAATCAATACCCATATTCAAGGTACGATCCCAATATGTATGTTTCAACGAAACCCAAATTACTCTTCATTGTAATCAAAGCTGAGTTCTGGTTATAACTGATTTCTATTTCTAAATCTCTATGTAACATGTAAGTATATGTATCCACAATATTACTCAGGTATATAGTCTAATCACAATACGTTGCTAATAGAATCGCATTACAAGTTTCACATGGTTGAACTCAATATACTGGTAGCAAAAAACGTGGAAACAGGATATTCTGTAAAACTGCAATACATTGTACATATTAATGATTTAATGCTGTAAACTTAGAATTACATTATTCATTGAAACTGTGCAGTGTTTCAATTGAATACTGAACATGATTAGCTTAAATCATGTGACATACTTAAATTATGCTATAAAACATATACAGAGATAGCTTAACTGTGTAATATCTATTCTCTCTATTCCTGAAAATTTTGTATGTTAAACTTTAATTGTGCGATAAACAGGTAATACAATGGTCTTAATCATGTGATAACAATATCATTGTAGGAATTGTAACTACGTCAATTCCTGTAAACTTTGTGACGTAAGATATCAAGAAGAGTGAGTTGATTAAGACTCTGCTTTGATTATGGTATTAGTAATTTGGTTCTTGTTAAAACATATGAGCGGAGATTGTACCTTGAGTATTGGTATTGATCTATTAAGTGCTAGTGTTTGTGGGGACATCAATAGCTGGTGCTCGTTGAAACATTCAAGCGGAGATCGTATCCTTGAGTATTGGTATTGATCTATTGATTGCTAGTCTCTGTTTTGACATCAATAGCTAAGGAGATTGCGCACTGTGTAGTGGCGTTGATTAATCACAGGATTAAACCTATGTAGATCGTGATGAGACATTGATCAATTGATTGCTAGGTTCTGTATTGACATCGATAGCTAGATAGCTAACAATATTGACATGATTTGTCACGGTATTGTAGCCGTGTGGATCTTGTCCTGGTTGAGTCATTGATCAAATTGGATCATCCCTATCATTTGGGATCGATATTTTATTATTATTAAAGTTTATTTCGCACACAAAAAATGTTACAATAAATTAAGACAAAGACATAAATTAAACGAGGAACATATGTAAATATAGAATATCACTTGTTACTCACTACATAAAAACAAATTATATCATTAAATTAATGATAGTTAAAATCGTTTAATCTTAGATCTAGCAGTTCATAAATGAGAGGTATTTTCCAATTCTGATCATCTGGTAACTTTGAAAACGGTAGATTTTGTTTAAACATATTGTCCACTAGCACATTATAATTATCTGCAATTGTATTCAGATTTTTAGATAAAACTGTTCCTTGATCATTTTTTTTTCATCATTATATATAGCTTGTTGATTATAGCTACGGTTGTGTCCCTGTGTGGCATTTAGAGCCTGGGATTCTGTCTTGGTAGAACACTGTATTAGTAGCTGGATTTTTAAAGCTACGGTTGTGTCCCTGTGTGGCATATAGAGCCTGAGACTCAGTCCTGGTTGAGTTTGATAACAGACGGACTGTACCTGAATAGATACGTTTCGAGACCTTCTTATAAAGTATATGTTTACTAAATACTTTTATATTTGATGATAAGAGCTTTATCCCTTAGATTTTAGTGATCCATGCATGGTATGACCACCACAGGATATCAAAGAGGAATCAAATTAAAATATTCGTCCTTCAAAGTTTTAAAGGGTACTATTGTGAATCAGACATGCCTCTCTACAAATAGAGGCTCACTTGAGCCATGTCAGTATTTTTTTTTAAAATCCATCTATGAACGACTCATCATTAATTATTAATCATTTAATTAATAATAAGATTTTCATAGTAGTCATAGTGACCAGTAATGTATAGTAGTTGAACTGAGAATGTAGTATTGTTGAGAAATTTTTCAGGATTCATTTGAGACTATAGAAAACGTTTTAATGATGTTAATTACTGAGTTTGAGCGAAAAGTAGACGTTCAAAAAAGTTCTTGAGAATTGATTTTAAAAAAAAACGACGACAAAAAATGTATAAAAAATCCACAGTAAACTAAATAGTTGTTTAGGAACATATTTCTTAATGGAAATTTGTCAATTAGTCAATTTTAGAAACAATTATTTATTTTCCATCATTATATAAAATTTCTTATTCTTCACGTGTTAGTTCGCAGATTTCTGAAATTCTTCAACCGTCGTCTTTCCAATAAAAGCTCCAGAAAATCTACAGAAAATATTTGTGAACAATGAAACATTATAGAAACCATTAACCGAATAAGATTACTTATTTTCGATGATAAGAGTTTATTTTTATTTTCTAAACCTGTTCCTAAACAACTAATAAGTTTACTGTAGGATTTTTGTTACATTTAAATAATTTTTTAAAAATCGATTCTCAAACGTAACCACCCAAATGGATGATTTTGAATGTCGAGTTTGCGCTCAAGCTCCTCCCTTTAACGTAATCAACCTTTTACCAGAACTTTCCATCAAGTTTTCAAAACTTAGGAATTTTACCGCGCTCTTCCTCCACTTCTGCTAATTTGTTTGCTCTCTTGGTCAAAAGTGCTCTCTTGCTCACTATACAAGAGGTTTTTGGCCTCGCAATATCTTCTCCAGTTGAGGATGAGGCCCCGGGAGATACAAAAGAAGGGGGTAGGGGAGGAAGGAGCTTGAGGCACCCAATTATATACAGGGTTATCCACAATGGATGAGACTGTAAAGACGACAGAAAACTCTTAAAATGTGACAAGTTTACAGTTGAAGGGACTTGTTTATATTAAGAAACAGACAGTTTAGATTCCGTACGGTCGTCTATCAAGTCTCATCCTTTGTGGGTAACCCTGTATGTTAGATGCCGAGGAGAACTATGCACAATTAGCCGAGATACAAGTTTAATTAATCCCTTTACTGCAATTTTTTTTTTAACTGAATAAAAACATTTTTAATGGTTTTTTAAACAAAGTTTTTTTAGCAAAAAAGGCATTGAAAACTTTACATTTATTACAAGTTTAGTAATCTACTATTATTAAAATATAAATTAACTATATGTGTCCGTCAACTCGCCCTTTAAGTGAGGCAAGTTTATCTCAAAAAAAGCTATTCAGAAGTTGTTTGATAAATAAATACATAAGATATAAATATCCCTTTTCCCTATAGATGTCTGTTTAAGACATGAAAAATACAACAAAATGAATCCCTCACTTTCTCTCTGACACCTGTTTAATACAGGGTGGGTGCTGTATTTGGAAACCAAATGAAAAATATTTCTAAACTAATTTAAAAGTTTTAACCGACATTTTTTTTTAAAGAATGATTTTTCGTTTATCTTCTACATTTATACTTTGCCTGTTTGTCAGGGTGTCTGCCTGTATGTTAGGGTGTTTGTATCCAATAAAAGTCAAAACGGTACAAACGATCGGGCCAAATTTTTTGTGGGACCTCATGTGACCCATGGGAAGGTTTAATGACGATCGAATTTTCAAAAATGTGCCTCTTACAAAATACGATTCAAAAAAATGTTTGAAAATCCACAAAATATTTTTTATAAAATCCGCGAAATTTTTGTTTTGTTTATGTTTTACAATGTTAACAAATTAAAATAGAAGACGAGGGCGAAGCGACCTAAAAGCCTAGTATAGAATGCATTTATCCAATGATATGAAATGAAAATAATGAAAATAAATAATCTTCACAAAATACATATTTTTCTAGAGGGAAAAAGTATTCTTATCATTATTATTTAAATATAAAAAACCTCCATAAAATACAAAAATTACAAGCTAGGGAAATTGATGATGTTAAAACGATTCTTATTATAATTTAAATATAACAAAAATATATTTTCCAAGAGGGAAACTGATGCTGTAAGAACTATTCTAATTATTTTATAAATATTTAAAAATCTCCATAAAATATAAATTTACGAAAGATAAAATGATGCTAGATCCTGGAGACCTGGGAATTGTGTACACAATCTCTACTTGGGCGGAGGTACATCATTTGTGAACTGCCCATTTAATTGGTCATTTTCCATTTTTCATTCGTTTTCTCACATGAACAATAGTAAAGAAAAATTGTTCGTTCAGCAAAATTTTGTTCGTTTTTTCAAAAATCGTTTTTCTGTAAAAAACTATCGTTTTTAACAAGATTTTTCAAAAAACCAGTTTGTTCATCAAAATAACGAATATTTTCATTCAGAAAAATACGATCATTTGTTCCAAGTTCTTAGTGTGATTCAATCGTTCGTTTTTGGATTTTTTTGTCGTTTTTAAAAACGTTAGTACGTTTGGTCATCTCTCTGAACGATCCAAGTTGATTGTCTATTGTTCGTTTATTTTCTGAAGGATTCCATCGTTCACGAAAAAGTTACAAAATGATGCCAAAATATCTTTAATAATAAGAAATTAAGATTAGATTTACTCTTGACCGAGCTTTCTTGTATTTTTCAGTTATCCAGAGACTGAATTTTCATTGTTTTAAGTGACAAAAAACTGTGTTTTTTTACAAGAGACTAGAATTACTATGTTTGAATAAAGTTAAGACGCTAAAACCTCTACATTTTTTATTTTTATAATGTGAACAAATTTTTCAGTTTTTAAGCATAGGATAGTTTTTAGGACAATCAAACGTTCGGTCGCTGTTTCAAAAAAATCAGAAATGGTTAATATTTTTTTTTTATTAATTAAGCTACAGGGCTACCATTCTTAGTAAAGCCCTTAAAAAAATGTATTTAATAAAATGTGTCACATGTTAATATTTGTCAAAAATAATAATATTTATTTTTTAACATTTTCCCACGTACTTTTTTAACTTTTTTAAAATCCTTCCTAACCATTAAAGATAAAGGTCTATTTATTTTTAATGAGCAGGCCTTGAAAAGTTAGACTTGGGACATGTACCCTCCCCTATCCCAACTCTAAGGGCAAAATCATAGGGGGGGGGGGGGGACACTCCAATCTATACAAATCCAAACAAAATTAGTCATATCGGGATATGGGTTAAGAAATCATGTAGAAAAATAGATTTTTTCTTAAATACGCCACTTAATTATCCGATTGATGGTTGAAAGCGACATGACACTCAACTGATTTTCAAAATGGTCACTATAATTCTTACTTTGGGAAGTTTGAGATTCCTGATTCTTGATTTAGGTAGAAGTTTCCTTGTCCGTTGTGATAACCTTCGTAGTGGCAGTTGCTGGGTTTATAATCAATGGATCTGTTATTGCAGTTATAATCAAGGTATAACCTTTTGCATTGTATTATAAGGACATTATTGGCTTCACTCTAGAAAGCCAAGAGATCTTCAAATAAAATTGAAAAAATGTTAAAAACCAAAATTAGTCGGACCATAATTTAAAAATTACTTTTTTTTTTATCAAATCACGAAATAAGAAAAAAATAATCAATCGATTTAAAGTTTCTTTTGGTGGTTACAGCATAGCTCTGAATTGTGTACCTCAATATATTTCCCGCATTGCATTCTTTTAGCTGAAAAACATCATTAATGCAAAAATGATAAAATCCGATATTTTTATTAAAAACATAGTATAGACATCCTAGATGCATTGTAATATTAGCTCTGTTTCAAAATAGTAAAGTATTTTTTAGATTTACAAATTGAAGACAGATGGAAGAGGTTTAAAGTGTTATCAGAAATACTTATCCACTCTAATCTTTCTCCGACTCATCCTTATTCTTAATATTTTTTAAAAGCTTGAGTTTCATACTCTAATTAATAAACAAAAACTGGGAGGTAGAGCTAGGGGGGAGGATAAGAGCGGGGGGAGGCGTTTGTAGGGCTGGGCACGTTCCGACTTTTTTGAAATCGTTCCGTTCCGTTCTAGAACGAGGGCCTTCAGCTAAATCGTTCCGTTCTAGTTCCTCTTTTTTATCGTTCCGTTCTCGTTCCGTTCCGTACCGNAGGTCTTTATTCTGATATATGGTTGGAGTAGTGGTTTACAGGTCTTTATTCTGATATATGGTTGGAGTAGTGGTTTACAGGTCTTTATTCTGATATATGGTTGGAGTAGTGGTTTACAGGTCTTTATTCTGATATATGGTTGGAGTAGTGGTTTACAGGTCTTTATTCTGATATATGGTTGGAGTAGTGGTTTACAGGTCTTTATTCTGATATATGGTTGGAGTAGTGGTTTACAGGTCTTTATTCTGAAATATAGTTGGAGTAATGGTTTACAGGTCTTTAGATGATGAAAAGTGTTTTCAGAAGAATTTTATCATAAAATAAATGTTTTAGTTAATTAAACGATAACCTACTCTTTTATAACTAAAAACACAACAGTGATAACATAATTTGTTAGAATGAACAAGATAAGTCTAATTTACAGAGAAATATCTTTTGTTTTATTTTATTAGAATATTATGGTTATAACTTTAAAGGGTCTGTATGCGTAATTTTCAGTGATCCTCAATATGCAAACCTTTATCTTAACAATAAAAAAGAAGATATTTTTTCATTTTTTCAAGCAGTGTTTTTTATAATTTTATTTTTGAATTTTATTTTTTTTACAATATTCTTTAAATATTCAGATGAAAAAATTAAACATTTCTATATTTCTTGTTCTTCATTTTATTCTAGTTTGTACATCTTTAAACCATATATCGGCTAATTTTGAAAAAAAAAGAAAAATGGGTGGGGGATATTATTATAGTATGCCAGATTAAAATTTAGAACTAAGTGAGAGGATCTTGATTTCTTTTTTCAAAACTCTGCATTGAATTGTTTACTTATGAGTTACGTCTGACTAAGCAGAACTTGAAAACACCAATTCCTGATACTTTCTTGGGGGGAGGGGGTTGAGAGCAAGCATCTCACCCCTTCCCCTACCTTGGCAGGGGGGGACTTCTTCCAATCCCCCATCTCTAATATCAAGAGATTTTCCTTCCAATTTTTCCTGTTCATTTTTTCTTCTTGATTCTTGTTTCTTGTTTCTACGCCTTGAGGTCTCTCCAAATAGTGGAGCAGGTAGGAGACGGAGAAGGAGGTTAGGAGAAGGAAGGGTATGAGCAGGTAGGAGACGGAGAAGGAGGTTAGGAGAAGGAAGGGATTGCTCCCTATTTTCCTTCTCAAGTTCTAAAATGCTTTAATTCTCTTGATTTCCATATGATTTCTTGTAGTATAAATGCTCAAGTCACTTTTGTAGAGAAACCACATTTGAAAATAGTAATTCTTTTGAATTTATTAGCATCATCAAATTCATAATTGATCAGACAAAGCTTAAGGGTGTACTGTTATTAATAGGACATTTTGAAATTACGTAAATACAGTCCATTTAATAGTTATCATTCAGAAGCGACAGACATTGATCAATCGATTGATTGTCTGGGGTTGCCTGGTAGCAATAGGCCAACTCTCAATACTCATTTACAAGGTATATTAGGAGCTTATTCATTGCATTGTTTTAAACTTTATTATTTCTTCATCTTAAAAATGTTGTCTTGATAAATTTTTCTAATTTATTTATAATGCTGTAATCTCTGTTTGTCTGTCTGTTTGGATGCCAGATCATAACTCATGAAACCATGGACCATTTTTCCTCAAAATTTGATTGGGGAACTCGGGAGAACCACAGGAATGTTCTCAGCTTTGTTTGATATTATAAGCTGAGTGGGTTCAGTAATTTGTAATTTGTAACTGCGGGAAAACGATGGTTGTAACTCTGGGTTCCCAATCTAGTATAAAGTTTTTAAATAATATTAATTTTTCTATTCGTATCTTTGTGATTGTTCAGTTGCTGCTTGATAACTACAAGATCATGTTCAACTCTGAAGTCTGTATTGGATACTTCACCTTCATCATGTTCATCACCAGCCTAAACAGACTTCTTCCCGTTGGAGTAGTGGTTTACAGGTCTTTATTCTGACATATGGTTGGAGTAGTGGTCTGTATTATGATATATGGTTGGAGTAGTGGTTTACAGGTCTTTATTATGATATATGGTTGGAGTAGTGGTTTACAGGTCTTTATTCTGATATATGGTTGGAGTAGTGGTTTACAGGTCTTTATTCTGATATATAGTTGGAGTAGTGGTTTACAGGTCTTTATTCTGATATATGGTTGGAGTACTGGTATACAGGTCTTTATTCTGATATATGTTTGTACACTTTCTGCCAAACACATTTTGATGATATTACTTTTTAAGGTATGTGTATGTCCTTCACAGTAGCTGGATCATGTCTAGAAGAAACAAACTAATTCTCAACTTGTTCATTCTAGGTAAGTTAATTTAATAATCAAATATTTAGATTTTTAAAAATATTTGAAAAGAATTGTTAACACATAACTTCTTTTTTTCTAATAATAAAATAATCATGACTGTAAGAGGCCAAGTTTGCCGTTCTGATTATTGTGATTGCTTTAAATAATGCTAAAAGTCCAGTAAATATTGCTAAAAATGCATGTTTTTCTAATATTTATATTATATGACCTATTACAATTTTTAGGAAGTCTTACCCTTATACCTGCAGGAACAATATAAATCTAATTTTCATAATACAAATTTAAACCTATTAAGTTAACCATTGACAAAATTGACATTTTAACTATTAAGGTTAATCTCAAAATTATAATTACTGGAAAATTTGACCGTACACAGATTCACATTTCAAGCAATGAATCATATCTGACAATGAATCCTTATGGTTCACCATCAGATTTCTTTCTATTTTCAGTCTGAGTTTTTTTGTTTACTTTATCTTTAAATTTAAAAAAATTAGATTATATTAATCTGTAACAATGTTTTTTCATTTTTCATTTGTTTTTTTATTTTTGTAAAATAAAATGCTTCTAGGCATAGTAAATAATTTCAAATGTTCATTTTTTTTCCTTTCTCCATCTGCATGTCCGCAATTTCTCTTTTTCTTGCCTCCCTTTGATTTCCATTTATGGCGCTGCCTTTGAAAGAATGCTTAAAAGTCGCTGTCTTTGCGCCATTATAATACAGTTCAGGATCACCCTTTCATATAAATAGATGAACCCCTCTCCGTTTTTTTGTTTTGCTTAATTGTAATTGCAGCCTCAAACCTTAACAGTCATGTCTACTTGCAATTGCAAGGTCATCACCTCTAGCACTTCAAGTTAGTTTCAATTTCCAACGAGGGAGAAATAGCTTCCCTGCTTTTTTACTTTCCTGTACATGGAGGGTTGCTTATCAACAATGGATAATCAAGTGACCGGCTCGGAGGTAGTTTTGTTGTATGATCCAACAGGAAAATGTCCTCGAGTCTCATTTCGCTGATTGTTAGAAGGTTAGTTGGTAGGTAGAGGAGAGTTGGAGATGAGGATAAGGGTTTGTAGGAGTGGTGTATTAGGAATGTTTCGTTAAAATCACTCCATTGTCCACATGTTATACTGTTTCCCAGTCTAGTTGAATTCCTTCGGAAGTATCCCATTTAGTGTGCACCACTGCATGCAGAATGCTTGTCCTCTTTAACAGTTCTGCTCAGGGAGCAGGGAAAGGGCCGTTCCAGAAAGGGCTCCGATCACTAATTGGAGTGGATATAATAACGGATTAGTATTACTTATAGTAGCTCTTTGTTATTCCCTTTTCTAGCAAATTGAGCATGGGGTTCAGGGCCGCTTGGCCTTCACTCCCTCCATATGTGCAGACACCTTTCTCAGCATCCACTGCAAATAGTGCAGAGAGCTTTCAAGCAGAGGTCTGTTATCCAAGGCTGTAGTAATGCAACTATAGATTATATATTCATAAAACACAGTTATTGGAGTAAATACGATCATCTTCCATGAAAAGGGTATCTTCTACCAGACTTGTGTATCATCAAGTACAGCGTTACAGTGGAAGGTAATTTTTTTTTATTTTCATACAAAAAAATTAAGAAAATCAACTTTGAATAGTAACGACTTAAGTGAATTTATTTTCCTTTCTCAATTCGAAATAAGATAATCACAATTTAAACATTCGTAAAAATCAACAGGAAAAGTGGATAAAATTAAGAAATATTTCATGAAACAAAACTTTTCTTTAAAAGTAGTGAAGAAATTTCGTCCTCTGAGTATTTGTGCTTTTTTATTTTATACAAAGGAAATTTTTTAGAAGAAACGAAAAATTAAATGAAAACTGGTGTAGGAAAAAAAAAGATGGACGAAGGACGTGGATCGTTCCGAGAAATGAAAAAGCCATCGTTTTTTAAAAACGAATTAAAAAAACAATTTGAAATCACTCAAACGATCATAATCGTTTGTGAACAATATTTACCTTTTTAACTGAACGAATTAATTTCCGAAAGATTTTGAAAAAAAAATTGTTTTTCACTAAACGAACGATATTTTTTTTAAGATAAAATGTTTCTGAATTACGATACTCTAACAAAAGTTTAAACTTTGGTTTACAGCTGATAAAATTTGTAGTGTAGATTATTTAATTTAACAGAATCATAGATTGAAATATCTAAGGTCTACATTTGGTTCCAAAAATATAGTGATTAAAAAATCAGAGTTTGTGGCAAAGACTCAATTTCTTTATTTCAAAAATTTAGTTTAGCGTGTTTAGGCAGCTGGTGATTGGGATCTTCCCCTCCTGCACCCTCTTCATCTCTTCCTAATCTTTATCTATTTGGCCTTTATCGTTCTCGTTCCATTTGGTAATAAGTTGTTTTTGTTTTCGACAATTGCCTGATAAACATTATTCTGAGAAAATTCTCAGTCATTAAATGAAATTAATTTGACATCAAAGCAAGGTGTTTTTTAATGAGAAATCAAAATTTAATTTAATATTTTTTTATTTCGTAAATAGAATTTGACAAATTTGAAAACTTTTTGTTGATTGTTTTAAAAACTATAATTAGCTTTTCAAATATTTTAATTGAAATAAAGAGCTAAAAGCTAAATTTGTAAATCAAGTAAATCTTCAAAATTTTTAAGAGGCTTGGTCGCTGAAGATTATTTAGTAAATGTTGTCCTACTTCTACTTCTAAACCGATATATTAAAAGTAAAACACACACTTCTGTAAACTTAAATGTTTGTGGAGCTAAAGCCTGGTTTTACTTGGATTTAAGCTTTAAAATCTCAGCTCAGGACATGAGTGTATGTCCAGATAATTGGTCTTTTTTGAGAAATTAAATCAATTTTCTCAAGAAGCTCAATTCTTTGAAACGTTAAGATTTTGTGGGTGTGGTCTCAACAACACGAGACAATTTACTGATCTGATCTAAAAAAGCAAATGTTGAGTAATTAACCCTTATCCTCCTGGGGTACTTAAAAACCATGATACGCAGGGGGGGGGGGCATCAGTTCAACCTACCCTCTAAATTTCATGTTTGATGTCCAAATATGACAAAAACATTTGCAGAATTTTGTTTGTTACAAAATCCAGGAATTAAGTAAAAATATTTTTAAAGCATATCTTTGAAAAGTGCCCTTGACCATGCAATTTCAAATATGCCAAAAATGTGTGCAATATTTAAATGTGTAGATGTGTAATTAAAAAAATAAAATGTGCAAACTTCTTTTGACGGGTTGTTAGGCAGTTAGGAATACTTTTTGAGTCATGCAAAAAAGTATTAAAAAAAACTTCAGGGAGGGGCTACAGGGGGGAGTATTAACCCCCCCCCCCCTCAGCAGATATAGGGTTAAAGTAATTTTTTGAGAAGACCAATTTAAATTATTTCAAACTCATTGATTACACAAAAGAATTATTTTTGCATTGTTTTGTGTGGTAAAATGCTTGAAAAGTTTTCATTTTTCATATGTGTTCAGAAAATACAGTTTTGAGTTATTAGGGAAAATCTTTTTCATTCTTCAGTACACACATATTTAATCAAAAAATAACAACTTCAAGAAATGTATAAAAATATTTAGAAAATAACATCATTATGATAATTGACAGATGCATAAGGTATTCGTAAAAATATTCTTTTGGGAAAAGGTTGATTGAGAGATAAAATTTTAGTAATTCAAAAAAGTCTATTATAATATAATTATTTTTTCTCTATCAAATAGAATTAACGCTTAAACTAAATATGTGTTTGTTTTAAAGTGGCAATTCTAGAAGTTGATTTAAATGGGCAAAAAAAGCTCACTATATATACATCATTTATATTTGTCTAAAGAAAAATTACATTAAACAATATAAAAGTTTACAATTTAATACTAATACTCTTTTCTCTGGGTATCGCATTTTATGATTGACAGGGTTTGCCAAAAAGGTGCAATACAAGACTTTTAGCATGAGTATAGTTTAGTTATTCCGAGGTGGTTTTCAGAAATGGAATTTCTTGGTCCCAGTCTAGCGTTTTTCGTTTTCTAAAAATGTGGTATGATGACAGAACTACAAGGCTTGATAGATTTTCGCACACTGGGTTTGCAGAACTTGTGCAGTTTCTTTAGAATCGCCTAATTTGATGGTGAGATATATCCTCTTGAGCCGATTTCAAAAGGATGAACAGACACATCCCTAGTTGTTATATCTGTGATAAAATGTTCATACTTGTTCAACTTTTCAGTGTTGGCATTTTTGATAGTAGAATTTTATAATAAAACCGATTGGAATTCATAATTATTATTTACATTAAAAATACACAAAAATATTTGATACTACTGAGATATTGAAGAGCGTGAAATATTAGCATTGTAGCTCCTTGCTCTCTATCTGGGATCAAATATCTCGGCCAATGTATCCCTCCTGGTTCGTAGATCTCGCCATATTTTGTTATCCTGCAGCTCGCTGGGGCAGAGGTGGGTCAGCTGGTGGAGCAATCAACAACATGGGTCATGCGGCTGGGGGGTGAAATAGGCAGACTCGATGGGTCAGAGTTATAACTATCTACCCAGGGGATTAGGAATAGTATAATTTTCCTTGGTCTGTCAGACTGGCAATGCTATGTACACGAGGTGTGGGTAGAATTCATATTATTTGTAGGGACCACCATAGACTTTAGATTTTCTATGCTAGGTTTGATTCTGGTTACATTATAGGTGTAATTTCTAGTCACCCTCCATGCAAAGATTCCCAATGATACCGTTGAAAGCTTTGTCATATCAAGTTTGAATTTGATATCAATATTTATATTTTTGAAAACTTATTATTTCCATGCGGTTTCTTTCCAAAAGTACATGTTTACCGTGCAGAATTATCAGACGCTTTAAACCCTAAATAAAACGACAATATAAAGATTAATGAGTGCCGTTGTGAATCTGACATTGACATCTTGGCATGGAGGGTCACATCATGAAATTACACTCAAATTCGCTTTACAGGATATTTGGCAATCTACATGTTTCTGAAGAAATATATCAGTAAACTACAGGGAATCTCTTTACGGGATATTTGGCAATCTACATATTTCTGAAGATATATAACAGTAAACTACAGGGAATCTCTTTACAGGATATTTGGCAATCTACATGTTTCTGAAGAAATATATCAGTAAACTACAGGGATTCTCTTTACAGGATATTTGGCAATCTACATGTTTCTAAAGAAATATAACAGTAAACTAAAAGGATTCTCTTTACAGGATATTTGGCAATCTACATGTTTCTAAAGAAATATATCAGTAAACTACAGGGATTCTCTTTACAGGATATTTGGCAATCTACATTATACATGTTTCTGAAGAAATATAACAGTAAACTACAGGGAATCTCTTTACAGGATATTTGGCAATCTACATGTTTCTAAAGAAATATAACAGTAAACTAAAAGGATTCTCTTTACAGGATATTTGGCAATCTACATGTTTCTAAAGAAATATAACAGTAAACTACAGGGAATCTCTTCCACAGAGCTGAAGCATAGACTAAGGTGACGGAAAAGTGTAAAACTACAACTAAGTCCCAAGGATATGTGTACTCTGTATTCTTTATAAATTGGGGTTTGTTTGTCTGTATCCAATAAATGTTACCCAAGGGTCAGGAAGGTTTATGGACACTAAGAAATCTATCAATGTTTACAGACAAATTCTCAAAATTGTACGAATTAAAATTAATGGCCGCTTGAAAACCCTTGAGCTGTGTTGCTAGAGAAAGTTCGTTTCGCACCCTGAAAGCCTTGCAATGTATATTTTGAAGAATATGTGGGGAGGGAGGGGGGGGGGGGATATTTCAAATTGGATTATAGGTAATTAGTCCACACTCTAAAGCTTTTCATTTAACATTCCAATCAGCTAAAAGGAGAACCAGTTAAAACTGTTGAATAGGAAAACCACATTATTATAGTAAGACTTAAGTGCATTTGAAGCAAGTAAATTGAGTCTGTTTAAGATGAACAATGGGTGTGTCTTGTGTTCATTGGACCATCTAAAGGCATAACTTGAGTCTACAAGTCGTCTTCCTGGGTCTCACTGTAAAAAAAACTAGTAGTATTATTTGATCCCCTCAAAAATCACTAAAAGGGAAAAAATTATTTTGAACTGAAAGCTTTATAAAATATGAATTTCACGGAGTTGGTGGAAGCTATTAATGAATTTGTACAAAAATCCCGCTTCCCCCCACCCTTCAGGACAGAGTTAAATGTAAGAGTTTAAGTTTAAATATTTTAGAAAGAATGTTGTTTCCTTTCGATTCAACTTGTTGATTTGGTTGCTGGAGGTCAGTATTTTTTTTTAAATTCTTATATTTTTTGAATCTTTTTATTTTTTCTTCTCTTTTCTTTTAACTGTGTTTTTTTCTTTTTAAGTCTCTTTTTATCTTTTTTTATGCTCTTTTTTCACATAAATATTCGTATTTCTTTTTCCTATTTTTTTGTAGGACCTTTACTTGTTCGTTTTGCTCAGCAGAGGTTTACGAAGTTTATTGATTATGCATATACTGCAAGATACAGTAAACTACTTTTTTTCACTGGAATCAATAGTTAAGAATAAAGTTTTTGCCCAAACTCAAGATTTCTGTAGATCCCTTATTCTTTGCAACCTGCTGTGTCCGAATATAATGAATTTGAGCTGTGTCTAAAATCCGCCCAAACCGGTTTCAATTGAGCGCCGACTTAAATCTTGAAGCAATCATATTTGAGCCGCGGCTCAAATTTTTTTAATTTAGAGGTGTAAACAATTGGTATTTTAAACTTAGAATATATTATTTATGGTTTCTTTTAAAAAATAATCGATAACAAATTGTGGCACAAATTTAAATTAAAAAAAAAACGCTTTGCGGTTTTTTTAGAATAATTCATGGCTCTTTATTAATCTTTGCTGGTTTGATAAAAATGTTTATTTCTTAATTGTGGTATTTTTACCTGCACTGTATATCTAATACATTTAGAGTCTTTCTCATTTTGCGTGTTTTAATGTTAATCGTTTGTTTATACGACACTCAGTCTTATAGAAATACACTGGTTAGATTTATCTATACAATAAAGCTCTACTCTCATATCTGTTAGCTATTGCTCACCAAACGGATTTACCAAATTAGCTAAATGTTTTTAGGGAACATACAATCTAAAAAATCGAAATTATTTATTTTTTAAGTCAAAACTATATTTTTTAATTAAAATGTTTTTTTCCCGAAATGTTTTTTTAATTCAACGGGCCACCCCAGGCATCAGCTGTCAACGTTATTGTTATTTTTAGGCTATAGCAATAGTTATTGTTGTTTTTAGGCTATAACAATAGTTATTGTTATGTTTAGGCTGTAACAATAGTTATTGTTGTTTTTAGGCTATAACAATAGTTATTCTTGTGTTTAGGCTGTAACAATATTTACTGTTATTTTGAGGCTATACCAATGATTATTGTTATTTTTAGGCTTTAACAATAGTTATTGTTGTTTTTAGGCTGTAACAATATTTATTGTTGTTTTCAGGCTATAACAATAGTTATTGTTTTGTTTAGGCTGTAACAATAGTTATTGTTGTTTTTATGCATTAACAATAGTTATTATTATTCTTTGGCTTTAACAATAGTTATTGTTGTTTTTAGGCCATAACAATAGTTATTCTTGTGTTTATGGCTGTAACAATATTTACTGTTATTTTGAGGCTATAACAATAATTATTGTTTTTTTAGGCTGTAACAATAGTCATTGTTGTTTTTAGGCTGTAACAATAATTATTGTTATTTTTAGTCTAAAACAATTGTTATTGTTGTGTTTAGGCTGTAACAATAGTTATTGTTATTTTTAGGCTGTAACAATAGTTATTGCTATTTTTAGGCTGTAACAATAGTTATTGTTATTTTTAGGCTTTAACAATAGTTATTGTTATGTTTAGGCATGTAACAATAGTTATTGTTATTTTTAGGCTATAACAATGATTGCAGTGATCATTAGTCGTGGACTCATTGTTCGGCTTAGCAGTGAACAGGTTGTTTTTTAAATATCATACACAATCCTCACAAGTCTTTATTGGTTTAAAGGGACTGTAATTGTAACTTAAACTGATCTTATATATAAAGAGAGGGACATCTCTAAATAATAACAACTGAATTCTAGACAACTCTGCAAGTTATGCATTAAATATTAGACAGCCTCGACTTTGAAGTGTCGCACTACCTTGGCCTTTGGTTTTACCTCACAAACTTCTTTATACTTGGTGTAGCCCTAGACATATACATTTTTGTAGCCCTAGACATATATAGTTTTGAAGCCTTAGAAATATACATTTTTGTAGCCCTAGACATATATATTTTTGTAGCCCAAGACATATTCATTTTTGTAGGCCTAGAAATATACATTTTTGTAGCCCTAGAGATGTACATTTTTGTACCCTAGAAATTTAAATTTTTGTAGCCCTAGAGATATACATTTTTGTACCCTAGAAATATACATTTTTGTAGCCCTAGAGATAATCATTTTTGTAGCCCTTTACATCTTAAAATTCAACGCGTGTGTTTCTAGCTGAAATTTTAAAGGAGTAATTTTCCTAATACTGCTCAATTTTTGCGTGTGAGCACATCTTGGTTTGCAGTGAACATTTGACTGATATATCATCAAGGTTAGAAATGGGCATCGTTTTTGTGAACAAAGAAAACTTTTGAGAGTGAACTTATTTGTTTTACAAACGAAGGGACCGTTCAGAAAAAACGAACTTAATTAATGAACGATTTGGATCGTTCAGATAATTTAAGAATTTATTAAAAAAAAACTGAATTAATGAACGAACGATTTTACCGAACGATTTTTTATGATTGAAAAAAACCAACAAAATGGTCGTTCACGCGAATTATGAACGAGCAAACTTAAAAACCGAACTTGCAGCTCGGACGGTTACCCTGCAGTCAATTCTTTTATATATTTTAAGTTTTTTATGTTCAATTAGTATAATGTGCGCTAGTTTTAAAAGCTTTAACCCTATCTCTGCTGGGGTACTTGAAAACCAGGATATGCTGGGGACCCCCCCCTCCAGCAGGAATAGGGTTAATTTTATTAAACCCTTATTCTATTTAGAATCAGAGAAGACTGGTAGAATTAGTTTATCAATTTATCACATCAGTAGTTTCTCCGGCTCTGTACTTCATAGGTAATCAGACAATGTGATTATATATCAATATATGAACCAATAAATAAAGGTATTAACTCTATCCCGAAAGGTTGGGGATGGCCCCCCCCCTCCCCCCGTGATTTGTCTAAATAACACAAAATTACTCAAAGTTCTTAACTTTTTCTTTTCAACTTGATAGTTGTGAACACATTTTGCAAAATATATTTCTTTAAAGCATAGAAATAAGGTTGAGGACGGTCAAATGGCTGGTTAGAGTATCAAAAACATCAAATTTAGCCTAAATCTTTTTTATTTACTAAGCCACAGATCTAAAATTTTATCATTTATTTGAAAAGTCCTGAAAGAATTATCACATGTAAATATTTGTGAAAAAATCTACATTTTTTCAAGATGATTTCTAATTTTTTTAAACTTTCCTTGCACCTTAACTATATATATTATATATTATATATATTATAGTTACTCTAAGAGAAAAACTATATTAGAAAAAAAGTAAAATTTAAATTTTTTTGTGAATGCGTGATTTGTTTAAGGGTGCATGGATTATTGGATAAAATAACACTTTCAGGAAAGCGACAAAAAAATAAAAAAATACACCTTTAAGTATTTTCTGTGTTTATACTGATGATAAATTCATTCAATATTAAATAATTACAAGTGTTGTTTAGAATCAGAAAAGGTCATTTAATTTGAAGTGGTTTAAAGCATATAATTTTGCAAATATGAAAATATTAAAAGATGTGATTTTCTAGGAATTGAGGAGTTCAGAAGCAGCATCAGAAATGTTTGTCAAAGAGGCAATTAAAGGATATCAGAATTTAGAGCACTCATTCAGAGGGTTTTAACTGATGGCCGGATATCAGAGTTTGAGGCTCTCATTTAGTGAGTTTTAACCAAAGAAAATAAGAGTTTGATGCACTCATTCAAAGAGTTTTATTGAAGGATATAAGAAATTGAAACACTCATTTAACAAAAGGATATCAGAGTTTAATGCGCTCAAATGAGAGTTTAACTAAATGGTACCAGAGTTTTGACACACATATTTACAGATTTTTAACATAAAGTGTGATGTTTTTTCTGTATTCTCTTTCTAAAGTACACAAATTTGTGGAGCGACAACTGAGTATCATGTCCACTGGAGCGACAACTAATTAAGTATCATGTCCACATGGAGTCCATGGAGCGACAACTAAGTATCATGTCCATTGACCCAGAGACCATATAACCAGTGACTCTTACCAAATAGGAAAAAAAGAGACTATAAATAAACAATACTTATTTTTTCTTAGTTGAGTTTTGTTTAATAGAAAAGAAAATGAATCAATTCATAAATAAGTTTTTATTAATTCAGCAAGTGAGTTAAAGTCTAGGGCTAGGCTAAAGTTTTAAGCACTCATTCAGAGAGTTTTAATAAAGGATTCCCAAGTTTGAAGCACTCATTCAGAAAGTTTTAATAAAGGATTCCCAAGTTTGAAGCTCTCATTCAGAGAATTTTAATAAAGGATTCCCAAGTTTGAGGATCAATGCTTTTTATTTAGTTTCCCCATGATCAAAGCTCCCTCAACACCTGAGTGGGTACGATTATCATGCAGGATATCAAATATAAAGTTTAAATTAATCCGCAGATTAGTAAAAGATTGAAGTTGAGCATTGATCTCGATATCCACATTTCCGCATTTCTCAGCTTATGTATAGAAATGTTTTTAATGCATAAATATTCAGATATAACATATTTGTAAATATCTTTATTGTTTTATATGTTGTAAATATATAAAATATCAAAGTAGATCTTAAACTATAAATTCTGTTAAATCAAATAGTGCCAAGTTGAAATATTAAAAGGTGCAAACCATAAGGTTTCAATTAGATATTCGGAAATATTATAAACAAAATGTTTAAATTAAAGATTTCCATGACTAGAAAATAGTTTTCACAGACTCTTTTAAAATTTCAATATATTCAGAAATAACCACAATAACATAATTAAAGTTTTGGCATTGAGCTATTTAGCCCTTGAATTAATGCTTTAAAAAACACAAAATAAATGTTATTGTATTTAAAATTCTATAAACCTTATTTAAAATAACAATATGATAGTTTGATATAAAAATTCGGGTTTCTTGCAAAGGATAAAGCTTCAAAGACGACTGCAAGAAATCTTATGACTTTTTATTCTAACAGAAAGCTGATTTTTTTCACAAAATCCAGAATTATGTAATTATATTATCATAGTTCGAAATAAAAATAAATAGTTCAAGTACATGCTATTTAGTTTTTCCCTCACAATTTGTAAACAATGTAAAAATGTTAAAAAGTATGCCGAAATAGTTAAATTATTTTTAATCTTTTTATTCTTTTAGTATCTATTTATCAATCTTTTGTATATTATTTGATTATGTTGCTGTTTTATATAGGTTTTTATTGTAATTACTTTCTTGAAAATGTAACAGATTTTGGTTTTTAAACAGTTTTTAAAGTTTAAAGATTTCATAAGAGCAATTTACTTTAAGTTATATGATTTGATAAATATGTTACCCCCCCCCCCCCCCCTCTGTGTCATAAAAGTGCAAAAATCGTATTACATGTAAATTTTACTATTTTTTTAGTTAAATTGTAAAACTAATTGTTTGTAATAAATCATGTATATATCTACTAGCCGTTTGTAACTAATTTGTTAAAACCGATTTTTTTAGATAGCCGTTCGTATTTCAGCTTAAAACGGAACATTAGTTTAATTAACGATATCAATATTATTAACGGAGTTAACGGCAAATATTTTATATATTGTTAAATGTGCCAGGCTGCCAGCCACTAACAAGCCGTTAACGATTATTTTATGTAAAAGTAGATGTCCTATTGTAAAGACAATAAAAACACATCCGTTTCGTTATCAACCTTTTTTCTTCTCAAAAACGGTAATTTCCGTTAAGTAATTCGATTTAAGATTAACGGTTTTTGCCGTTCGTTAACGGACTCTTCCGCTAATTTTCAAAAACCTCCATTTCGTTAACGGAACTTTGCCCAGCCCTAATTCCGTCAGAGTAAAACAATAATTAACTAATCAAAAATTTAGATTTCCACAGTTGTATTCACTATATGGCAATATGATAATAATTGGCAATAAAGAGACTGATAACGTAAATACAGGCGACCTTTCATCCTAAAAAAGGGGTGACTAGGATATATTACCGACACAGTCCCTTTAAGAAATCAAAAGAAGTATTTTGAAAATTTATTAAGTTAAGGATTACGAAATAAATAAATGTTTGGTAAGGTTTAGTTGATTATATTTAACTAATTGAAACATAATTCTCGTTCAAGTGAATTGAAGATTATCTCTTCTTAATTTATAAAGTGGTCTATTGGTCTAAAATTAACATATTTAAGAAGCCCTTGAAAAAAATACCTATAAAAACATACATAAATAAATTTATCAATTAATAAATTGATAATATCTACATGAATTGATATATTAGTCTACAACTTTTTCAACAAATTTTTTTTATTTTTTGTAAAACTAAACTATTAATATGTATTACACTCCCCTGCCTTTCCCAAATTGTTTTTCAACCTAAAATAGATCAAATAGAATTAAGGTTTTTAATCGTTTTTGTAAACGATCGTTAAGCGATCGTTTTTGTTTCGTTTTCAATAACGATCGTTTCGTTTTCGGAAAAAAAAATCGTTTTTAAAAACGACCCACTCGTTTTAAACTTTTAGAAAACAAATAGCGATCGTTTTTGAAAACGATCGTTTAAATTAAAACGATTTGCGACCGTTTTATATAAGATTGTTTTTAAAAAACGATCGTTTTTGAAAAAAAATGTATTGACAATTATGTTAACGATCGTTAATGAAGGGTCGTCGTTAACGATCGTTAACGAAGGGTCGTCGTTAACGATCGTTAAAGAAAGGTCGTCGTTAACGTTCGTTAACGAAGGGTTGTCTTTAACGATCGTTACTGAAACGACGAACTTTATCAAAACGGTCGTTTTTGGAAAAAAATACATGCAACTTTATTGAATGTCGTCTTGCATGAAGTTTAACAGTTGTGGGGGAGTTAAAGCTCCTTGATATTTTCTTAAAAACTACTCAATGATAAGTACAGATGCCCTTCAGGTCGGTTTCCTCTCTTCGTTAACGATCGTTAACGAAGGGGTCGTCGTTAACGATCGTTAACGAAGGGTTGTCGTTAATGATTGTTAACAAAGGGTCGTCGTTAACGATCGTTAACGAAACGACGAATTTTATAAAAAAAAACAATCGTTTTGAAAAACGATCGTTTCGTTTTCGATTTTTCATCGTCGTTATCATAACGAAACGATCGTTTCTCTGAAAAATGAAAACATTAACATTCCTAAATAGGATAGGCTTAAAGGTTACTGAAGTACCCTCCTCAAACTATATTGATTTAATTCTTTAAATCTTTTTAACCTGAGGCCGAATTTAAAGAATTTGAGCCACGGCTTAAATTTAAGCCGGGGCTCAAACATGGTTGGTTCCACTTAAAATTGTATTCAAATTTTCAATATTTAAGCCAGAGCTCAATATAAACCGGTTTTGGGGGGATCTGAGACGAGGCTTAAATTGATTAAATTCGGAAACTGATCATGTAAACCTTGGATATTTCACAATTTGATCTCGTGGAAAAAAAAAGTTTAAAAGAAAACGAAAAATCAATTAAAACTCGATGCATGAATTGAAGCGACGGGTTAAAAGTTCTTAACCATGGCTGGGGAGTCTGAATCTAGGTAAAGCCTGGGGTGGGGTAGTANTAACATACACCAGTCTTTTATACTGTTTTTTTTTAATTACTCTATGTACGTGTAAAAAAAGTTTAAACGAATTTATAAAATCTTTAAAACTACTTTTTCCATGCGGAAAGTAAAAAAATGTCAAGGTGAAAGTGTCAAAAAAAGAGTGCCAAGAAAAAATCCCTGTTTTGGGTTAAAAGTAGAAATGAGGAACATTACGAAAACAATATATAATGTTGTCAGTGATAATTGTATCGCCGAACGAACAGGACAGAATCCAGGGAAGTACTTTTCCAATTTTTCAATTAAAAAAATTGCTAACACTGTTTAACAACAACAAAAAATATGTAGAATCTAAACAGTTTTTGGAAATATTAAATTTGTTGGAGATAACATTCGATGTAGGATTAAAAAGTGATAACAACCTTTTATAATTAATATTGATTATTAGGCCTTGATTCAAGTCCGTTTATAAAAAAGAATTTCTTCTGTAAAGGAACAGAGTTTTATCACAAACTAATATCTACTAATATTACAATATCTTTGAAACCCGCCGTCATAAACCAGTTATTATTACATACTAAGCATTCTATTAGATCAAAAAGTTTAAGAGACACCTATTCCAATCCTGAATCTTTGTCAATTTGATCTGTGTTTGTGATAGTGTTCCTTCACAAATATTAAATAGTTCAGGATAAATGTCGTCGTTTTAGTTGGAATTTTTCCTCTTTTCGTATGAATTTCGTATGAATTTTCTCAATTATCCAACTGCCATTATAATTATTTACCTCTGCTAACCTAACTAATAAAAAATATGTTTCTTTACAAAAAAAACATAATTGGCAAATATTAACCAATTAAACACAAAAAATAGGAAGGCAACAATCAGTCCAGAGTTTTTTGGATACCACTGTCTTTTTTTTCCTAAATTATCCATGGGCCTTTTAAGAAATATTTCATGGCAACCCAAGCACAAAAAGGGTTCTCCTAAAAACTTCGCTAACATACTTTATATTAAAATTTTTTAACAAATCCAAGAAAATAATGAAATACAAAAAGGTTTACTTTTATTACAAGAGCAATTACAGGGTCTGGAACTGTTGGGGGATAAAAAGGAATCCCTCTTTACAGTGTAAAGCGGTTAAAAATCAAGCATATATAATTTAAATCCAACCATGTGAAATGAGTATGATATGACATACCAATATTTAAAGGATAATAACAAAATAAATTACAATAACTTAACAATATGGAATAGTGAAATTTAGTCAGGAAGTTGGCACAAATATAATATAATTGCCATGTAAATATTCCAAGGAAATTATTTAGATTTGGTACTCTGTCTCCTTCCAGATGGTAACTTTTTACATGGCAACATATTACAATTGGCCCAAGATCGTGCCTTACGTCTTTTTCCCTGTTTGGGATTTTTTGGCATCACAATTACACTCAAATAGTATTACAAACATGAATCATAAGAATAAAATCTTTCTTCCGTCTGTTTTTTCTTCTTCTTCTTGGAAATAATTGAGCAAATGTCTGGGTTTTGGAGTTCATAAATTACTTCTTCAGTGCTTGAAGAAGTTCTTTTAAGCTGACTTCACCATCTTTGTCATGATCGGCAAGGGCGAAAATTGTTTGAATCTCTTGATCCATAAAATTAGACTGTCGTAGTGCAGCGGACATTTCTTGGAAGGAAATATTGCCATCCCTGTTGGCATCCATGAAGTTGAAGGCAACACTGATACAGAAATTGTGAAACTTTTCCACAGCCCCACTTGATCCGGAGCTACTGCTAAGCATGTGAACAAATTCTGACAAACTAACTTCACCATCGCAGTCCCGATCAGCTACAGCAAAGCATGTTTCAACCTCTTGGTCATTGAAGTTGATTCCAGATGAGCATAGTCCAACTCGCAGCTCGTCAAAGGATATAGCTCCATCTTTGTTTGTGTCAAATCTTCGGAAGGCTGCCTCAATCTCAGATCTGTTTCTGAAACATTTCTTTAGCTTAGCTATTCTTTCATTTGCAGAGGGAATCATGATCTGTGCAAATTCAGAGAAATCAATCTGACCATTGTTATCCTTGTCTCCCAACACAAATAGAGTATCTATTTCCTGTGAGGTTAGTTTCAATCCAGAAGAAGACATTCCTTGTATAATTTCTTGTCTAGAAATTTGACCATCTCTGTCCACATCTAGCTTTTGGAATGCTTGTCTTACACTGGATATATTGCTGAAGCACTTCCAAAACTTTGACAATGCTTCACTAGCACTTGGCATCATGATCTTTGCAAACTCCAGGAAACTGATTCTACCATCTTGATCTGTATCCCCCATTGCAAATATAGCATTTATTTCATTTGCAGTATATTCACCTCCCATACCCTCAACAAGCTCATCATGACTTATCTCCTCATCTCCATCAATATCATAACTGTCAAAAGCCTCCTTGGCATTTTTCAGGGATACATGAGATCTCCTAAACTTGGCCAAAGCTGTGGAGGCAGCAGGGAACATCATACTTATAAATTCAGCGTAGTTAATTTCTCCATCAGAGTTTATATCAGCCAAAGAGAATATGCAATTTACTTCTTCATCAGAGAATTGCTTTCCAAATGAGTTCAGTCCTTCCAGAAGTTCCTGTTTGTTCAAAGCTCCATCATTGTTGAGATCCATTGTACGGAAAGCAGAAACAACATCCTCAATATTACAGAATGCATTTCTGAACTTTGATAGTGCACTTGAAGCATTGGGACACATGACTCTAATAAATTCTCCTACATTAATCTCTCCATCTCCATCAAGATCACCAACAGCAAAAACTAATTCAACATCATCATTGCTAAGTTTTAGTCCATTTCTTAGTTCATCTTTGCAGATCTGACCATCATTGTTGAGATCAATTCTTTTAAAGGCAGATTTTGCATCTGCTACAGTTCTAAACTGAGATGACAGCTTTTGGATTGAGGCCGATGCATTTGGAAGCATCATAAGGATGAACTCCTGGTAATCAATTCCACCAGATTGATCCATATCTCCCAAAGCAAATACAGAGTCCACATCAGACTCAGAAAACTTGGACATTACTTGTCTTAGTTCAGCTCTAGAAATATGACCATCCCCATCAGAATCAGACTTCCGAAAAGAGGACTTTATCTCAGAAATGTTTCTGAAAGATTTCTGTAGTCTTGCTAGACATTCTGTGGAAGCTGGGAACATCATTTTAACAAATTCCTGTAGATCAATTTTTCCATCTCCATCAATATCTCCTTTTTGAAATAATGAGTTGACTTCTTGGTCAGATGGAGTTTTTCCTGTTGCGAAAAGCATTTGCTTCAGCTCATTTTTGTCAATGCTTCCATCATTATTTGCATCAAAACGATAGAAAGCAGATTTTACATCTTCCACTCTTCCAAATGAAAGAGCTGTGCCCAGAAGATGTTCAAACTCCTCTAGACTAATCTCCCCATCACCATCAAGATCAGCAACATCAAAAATTGTGTCAACCTCTACATTGGAAAGTTTTAGTCCTCTTCCAGAGAGACCATTAGACAACTCCTGTTTTGAGATTTTTCCATCTTTGTTGACATCAAACTTCTTGAAAGCAAGTTCAATATCATGAGCTGATCCAAGGGACTTCTTCAGAATGCTAATTGTCTCATCTGCAGATGGGATGATCATTCTAGCAAATTCACTGAAACTAATTTTTCCATCTCCATCCACATCTCCTACTGCAAAGACAGCCCTAAGTTCACCATCTGATAGCTTTGCCACAGAATTCATGCCGGATTTTAGCTCTTGGAAAGTTATTTCTCCATCTCTGTCAGCATCAAATTTCTTAAATAAAGACTTTACATTGCTTAATGTTTTTAAAGCATTCCTAAGTTTTGCAAGTCCATCAGAAGCTACTGGGAAAAGTGCAGACACAAACTCAACAAAATTTATCTCTCCATCTTGATTTACATCAGCTAAGGCAAAAATAGCCTTAACTTCAGCAGCACTGAAGCTCATTTGACAAGATCTCATTCCATTAACAAGTTCTTGCTGAGATAAGGCTCCATCTCCATTTAAATCAAACCTTTTGAATGCAGAAACAATTTCTTGGATGTTTCTGAAGGAGTTTCTGAACTTTGAAAGTCCACTTTCAGCAGCTGGGCACATAAGGCGTACAAATTCAGAGAGGCTTATTTCTCCATCTTGATCAATGTCTCCTAGTGCAAAAACAACCTCAAGCTCGTTTTCATTCAGGTTCATTCCTGATTTCATTTCAGGTTTACTGATTGCTCCATCCCCATTTGCATCAATTTTATGGAAAGCTTCCATGACTTGTTGAATGCTTGAAAATTTGGATGCTATTTTTCTTAGAATTGAACCAGAGTTTGGAATCATCATTGCAATAAACTCAGAAAAGTCAATTTTGCCAGATTGATCCTTATCTCCAAGAGCAAAAACAGCATCAACATCAACTCCAGGGAAAGAAGTCATCATGCTTCTAAGCTCATCTAAAGAAATATGACCATCACCATCAATATCACACTTTCTAAAGGCTCCTTTCACATCATTCAGACTTTTGAAGGAAGACTGAAGTTTTGCTAAGGCTGATGCTGAACCAGGAAACATAAGTTTGACAAACTCTTGCATGTCAATTTGACCGTCACCATCAAGATCTCCTTTCTTAAAAAGTTGATCTACCTCAGAAGAAGATACAGCTTTACCTGAGGCAGAACTCATCATTTGCTTCATCTCTTCTTTATCAATAGCACCATCTCCATTAGTATCAAACCTTCTAAACGCCATTTTGCAGTCATGGACACTTCCAAAGGTTAGTCCTACAGAGCAGACAGAGCTAGATTGGAAAGAAGAGCTTGAGGAGAAAGATGAGGAAGAGAAAGTTGTGGACTGGAAGCTGGAAGAAAATTGAGAGGAAGATGAAATTGCTACAGTGGAGATTCGAGAAACACCTGCACTTGGGACCATGACAGCCAGAAACTCTGCTAAGTCTATTTCTCCATCATTGTTTGTGTCTCCTAGCTTGAAAATTGCATCCACCTCAACACTGCTTAATTTTACATCTCCATGGAATGATGCAGTTGCCATTTCATTCCTGCTTATCAAACCATCTCCATTAATATCAATCTTTTTAAAGGCCTCAGTAGCTCCAGTCTTACCTTGCAACATTTGAGATATTTTATTGACAACAGCAGATGCTGATGGGCATAGGACTGCAATAAATTCACTTTCATCAATTTCCCCATCGTTGTTACTGTCTCCAAGAGAAAATATGGCATTAACTTCCTGATCATTAAATCCAGCTTGAGCCATTTCTGATTTGCTGATTAAACCATCATGGTTAATGTCTAGCTTCCTAAATCCCTGTTTAATGTCCTCCAAGGTTTTGTAGCCTTTGCTGAGTCTTCCAACCACAGTAGATGCAGCAGGGCACATAACTCCAACAAACTCACTGAGATCAATCTCTCCATCATTATTAGTATCTCCAATAGCAAATATTGCCTCAATTTCTTGAGAGTTGAATCTGTTCCCACAGGCTCTCATCTCTTCTTGGCTAATCAATCCATCTCCATTTTTGTCAAGAACTTTAAAGAGCTGCTGAGCATCTGAAATATTTCTTACGTTTCTTGTAAGCCTTGCAATTGCCATTGCAGCAACTGGGCACATCAGCCCAATGAATTCTTCCAAATCAATTTCTCCATCCTGGTTCAGATCTCCAAGAATGAAAATAGCTTCAACTTCTTGTCCATTGAATTTTCCACTTCCAGCAATCTCACTCTTACTAAGCACACCATCTTTGTTTGTGTCCATGCTAAGGAAAGCCTTCTTTACCTCATTGATGTTTTTATATTTAATTCTCAACCTAGAGACAACTGTCATTGCAGCTGGGCACATAACAGCTATAAACTCCTCTAGATCAAGTGCTCCATCATCATTAGTATCTCCAAGTGCAAAAATGGCCTCAACCTGGGCAGAATTGAACTTGTGTCCAGATCCCATCATCTCGCTTTTGTTGACAACACCATCTCCATCTCTATCTAGAAGCTTGAATGCAGCTTTTACATCCTCAATGGTCTTAAAGGTCTGGCTGACCTGAAGGGCAACCTCAACAGCAGAAGGAAACATTATTCCAATAAACTCTCCCATATCTATTTCACCATCTCCATTTACATCACCTAATAAGAATATAGCTTCAATCTCCTCTGAGTCAAACTTATTTCCTGGTGATGTTCTCATTTCATCCTTACTAAGCAAACCATCATTATTTGTATCTATTCTCTTGAATGCTTCCTTGACATCATTTAGATTTTTGAATGATTTACTTATTTTCTGAACAACTTGGGATGCTGAAGGACTCATTAATGTGATAAACTCTTCCAAAGTGATCTCCCCATCACCATCAACATCTCCAAGAGAAAAGATGGCATCAACCTCAACATCAGAATATGATTCACCAGAGCTTTTCATTGCAGCAGAAAGTTCAGCTTTTGATAGTGCTCCATCTCCATTGTTGTCAAATCTCTTGAAAGCAGTTTTCACATCGTTTATGTTTCTATATTTAGATCTAAACTTTTCAATGATATCTGAGGCAGAGGGACACATTAAAGCAATAAATTCTTCATAGTCAATTTCCCCATTTCCATCAATGTCAGCTGCAGAGAAGATAACGTCAATTTCTTGTTTTGTAAAGTTTCCTCCAGAGCTCATGGCTGAGGTGAGTTCATTTTTATCAATGGATCCATCTCCATTTTTGTCAAACTGCTTGAAAGACTTTTGAACATCTTTCACAGTTTTTCTGATTGATCTAAATTTTGAAACAACATCAGATGTAGATGGCAACATCATTCTCCTAAATTCTTCAAAATCAATTTCTCCATTCTGATCAATATCTCCAATAACAAAAATGGAATTGATATCTTCATCAGACAATTTCTGCCCAGATCTTTGAACTGCTGATTTCAGTTCTTGGAAAGAAATTTGACCATCATTATTGGTATCCCAGCTTTTGAATGCTCTTAGGACATCCTCCTCAGACTTAAAGTTCTGCTTCAAAGCAGAGATATTTGTTGCGGCAGAAGGAAACATCAGTTGAACAAACTCTCCAATGTCAATTTCTCCTGAAATTTTACACATGATATTATGTTTAAATACATTTAAATCTTTAGCCAAAATATATTGAAAGGAAGAATATACCATTGCCATCAGTGTCAGCCAAGTCAAAAATAAGGTTTGATTCCTGAGCAGAAAACTGACCAGAAAGCCCCATACCTGCTGCAAGCTCATCCCTAATTAAAGAGAAAATGATCAGATATTTCACATTTATTTTAGAGAGAGATAAATTATGTGAAAATTCGTAATTACCTGGAAATATTACCATCTCTGTTGGCATCGTAAGTGTTGAATGCACGTCTGACATCATCTATTGTTCTGTACATGGACCTGAACTTGGCAATAAGCTCTGATGCATTTCCTGAAGCACAAAAAAGGCATTGTGATTATTTGTTTTCCACCTGTAAAATCTTTTGACATTCAAAATTTTAACTTTATTAATCCTTTATGCGTCAAGGGAAAACTGCAAAGTAATGCCGAAACATTTGCTTTAAACCTTGATGTTTCATATTTTAAATTCCAAAATTTTCAACAAAAAATAAACAATGTTTTTTATTTTAATTGTTGCTGGATTTTCATGTTTTTGTATAGCTCTTGAATTTCAATTGTCAAACCAACATCAGCTAAGGGATTCAGATATTATCATTTTTTTAATTACCTGATCCTGTTGAAGGAGAAGCAGAAGGGCAAAGCATTTGAACAAACTCTGCCATGCAAACCTGACCATCTCCATCAACATCAGCAATAGCAAAAATTGTCTCAATTTCTTGTTCGGTTAGAAGAACTCCTGAATTTTTCAGGCCAGATTTCATTTCATTGTAGTCAATTGAACCATCATGATTAGCATCAAATTTCTTGAAGGCAGCCTCCACGTCAGGTCTGGTTCTGTAAACCTTCTTCAGCTTTGAAATCCTCTCTGGGGCAGTTGGGATCATTATCAAAGCAAACTCTGGGAAATCAATTTGGCCATTGTTATCCCTATCAGCAAGAATGAAAATAGCATCAATCTCTGCAGTTGTAAAGTTCCTTCCAGACTTTTTCATTCCATCAACAACCTCATTTCTGCTTATGGCACCATCATTGTCAATGTCAAACTGCTTGAAGGCTTGCCTGATAACCTTCAAATCTCTGAAGCATTTCCAAAACTTACTTAGTGCCTCTGATGCTTCAGGAACCATCAGCTTAGCAAATTCAAGGAAGCTTATCTTTCCATCCTGATCTGTGTCTCCAAGGGCAAACACAGCTTTTATTTCATTAGTGTTAAAATTGCTTCCCATACCAGCAGCCAGCTCTTCAAATGAAATTTCCTCATCACCATCAGAATCAAATCTTGAAAATGCCTCTTGAGCATTTTTGATACCTGTAAATTGTTTCCTGAACTTGGCTAGAGCATCTCCAGCTGCGGGTATCATGAGGCTGACAAACTCAGTGTATCCAATTTCTCCGTCTTGGTTGATGTCAGCAGCTGCAAAAATAGCATTGGTCTCTTCATTACTGAAACTCATTCGCATATTTCTCATTCCTGAAGCAAGCTCTTGAATTGAGATTGATCCGTCATTGTTGGTATCAATTTGGCGGAAAGCATGAACAAGTTCATATATGTCTCTAAAGCAGTTTCTAAATCTATTGACTGCATTGCAAGCAACAGGACTCATTATTCTTACAAATTCACTGAGAGACATCTCCCCATCCCCATCCAGATCACCCAAAGCAAAAACAACATCAAGGTCACTGTCAGATAGCTTCATTCCATTTTGTAGCTCAGTTTTGCTAATTTGGCCATCCCCATTCAAATCAAACTTCTTAAAGCATTCTTTAATATTAGTGATTGATCGGAAAGACAAAGCAAGCTTAGCAATAACACCAGGAGCTGAAGGTAGCATTAGGGAAATAAATTCTTGAATATCAATGCCTCCAGATTGATCTTTATCTCCAAGCGCAAAAATAGCATCTACCTCTGCATTTGAAAAACCTGTCATGACTTGCTGAAGCTCTTGTTTATTTACATGTCCATCTCCATCAGCATCATAGCGTTTAAAAGATGCTTTTACATCAGTTAAGCTCTTAAAAGATTTTTGCAACTTTTGTAATGCCTGGGCTGATGCTGGGAACATGTGCTTGATTAATTCTTGATAATCTACTTTTCCATCACCATCTGAGTCAGCTTGTTTGAACAGATTATCAACTTGGGAATCAGAAGAAGCTGAACTGGCCATCTTCATTAGCTGCTTAAATTCATTTCTATCTAGGTGACCATCACTGTTGACATCAAATCTTTTAAAGGCAGCTTTCACATCCTCAATAGATTTGAAGCTCATTGATCCACTTGAAACATTTCCAGATTGCACAGTTCCTGCTCCGAGAAGTTCCATGAACTCTTCAAGGCTGATTTCTCCATCTCCGTCAACATCAGCAATTGCAAAAATTGTTGTGATTTCCTGGTCATGGAATCTCATACCAGATTGATTTAAACCATTTCTCAGCTCATCACAGGATATTTTACCATCTCTATTTACATCAAATTTCTGGAAAGCTGCTTTTATTGATTCATCATTGGCGAAAGACTTTCTAAGTTGACCGACCTTTTCCCTTGCAGATGGTAAAACTAATTGGGCAAACTCAGCAAAGGAGATGTTACCATCTAGATCAGAATCACCTAGAGCAAAAACTGCAGCAATTTCTCCAGATGTAAAACCTGGTCCAGCACCATTTTTCAGTTCTACAACAGAAATTGAACCATCCCCATCAGCATCAAATCTCTTGAAGGCTACTTTAACATCTGTAATTGCTCCTAAACGAGCTCTAAATTTGGCAAGCCCATCAGCAGCTGCTGGGAAAAGTGCACTGACAAATTCCAAATAGTTAATTTCTCCATCTTGGTTAACATCAACAAGCTCAAAAACACTTATACATTCTTGATTACTCAATTGAAGACCAGTACTTGTAATACCATGCATGAGCTCTTGTTTTGATAAGGCCCCATCTTTGTTAACATCAAACTTCTTAAAGGCAGTTAAAACCTCTGCTATGTCTCTGAAAGAATTCCTCAATCTGTTCATAGCTGAGGCAGCAGATGGAGACATAAGTCTGATAAACTCACTCATGCTTATTTCGCCATCTTGGTCAAGATCTCCAATAGCAAACACAACATCAAGATCATCTTCACTCAATCTCAGCCCATTTTTAAGCTCCTGTCTAGAAATTGCTCCGTCTCCATTGGTGTCAATTCTCTTAAAACCTTCTTTTATCTGCTGAACAGAAGAAAACTGTGAAGAAATTCTGCTTAGAATTCCAGATGAGTTAGGAATCATCATGCAGACAAACTCTTGGTAGTCAATACCTCCAGACTGGTCTTTATCTCCAAGAGCAAAAATAGAGTCCACATCTTGTTCTGAGAAAGATGACATAACACTCCTTAATTCACTTCTACTAATGTGACCATCCCCATCAGAATCATTCTTTCTGAAGGATGCTTTAACATCATTCAGACTCTTGTATGATTTTTGAAGTTTTGTCAGAGTGGCAGTAGATGCTGGAAACATGAGCTTCACAAACTCCTGAATATCAATGAGTCCATCCCCATCAACATCTCCTTGGCGGAAAAGCATTTCAACTTCATTGTCTGAAACGTGTTTTCCTGAGGACAACAGAAGTTTTTTGAACTCACTTTTATCCAGGTGACCATCTCCGTTAGCATCAAACTTTCTAAAAGCTTGTTTGACCTCAACAGCATTAGAAAAGGAAACAGACATGGCAGTTGCTTGATAAGTAGTTGTAGAAGAGTAGGACTGGGAAGAAGAAAAGGAAGAAGACATTTGGGTTGAAGAAGTTTGTTTAAATGAGGAAGAGGAGGAAGACTGCACTGAACTCTTCTGCTTAAACTGTGTATTAGATGTGGAAGAAAAAGATTGACAGAATCCCCCAGCTGGTACCATCACACTAAGGAATTCTTCAAGATCAATTTCTCCATCCTTGTTAACATCTCCTAGTGCAAAAATGGCTTCAACTTCAATATGGTTTAACTTTGTGCCTGTTCCAAAGGATGCAGCACTCATCTCAGATTTACTAATACTTCCATCATGGTTTAAGTCAATCTTTTTGAAAGTTTCTACAGCAGATTCTTTATCTTTGAATTGTTTGCTGATCTTGAATACAACAGAGGAAGCAGAAGGACACAAAACAGTGATGAATTCATCAAGACTGAGTTCTCCGTCATTATTGCTGTCTCCTAAAGCAAAGATTGCATTTATTTCATTTTCATTCATTCCTGATCCTCTCATTTCTTTCTTGGAAATTTGATTGTCATTATTCTTATCCAACTTCTTAAACAATGCTTTAATTTCTTCAATAGATTTAAAACCTTTGCTAATTCTAGCAACCAAAGTTTCAGTGCTTGGGCAAATGACAGAAACAAATTCATTCATATCAATTTCTCCATCATTGTTGACATCTCCAATAGCAAAGATTGCATCAATCTCTCTGGCACTGAGTTTTTGTCCACAGTTTCTCATTTCCTCCTGACTGATTAATCCATTTCCATTCTTGTCGAGAATTCTAAAAAGTTGTTGTGCTTCATTGATGTTCTTCACAACTTTTGAAAACTTTCTGACAGCCTCTGAAGCATAAGGGGCTAACAGTCCAATAAATTCTTCCAAATCTATTTCTCCATCGCCATTAACATCCCCAAGGACAAATATTGCATCAATTTCATGGCTGCTAAATCTTCCATCTGACATCATTTCCTCTCTGCTAATTTGGCCATCCCTATTTTTGTCTAGAGTAGTGAATATTTTTTTGATTTCACTAATATTTTGGAATTTTTGGATAAGTCTGGAGATAATTGTTGCAGCCGACGGACAAATTACTCCAATAAACTCTTCAAGATCTAAAGCTCCATCGTCATTGTTATCTCCAAGGGCAAAGATAGCTTCAACTGCTTCAGAGCTAAATTTATGACTTGATCTTGCCATCTCCTCCCTTGTAATGGATCCATCACCATCCTGATCCAGTAGCTTAAAAGCATTTTTAACATCCTCAATATTCTTGAAACTCTCGCTGATCTTTGCAACAATTTCAGTAGCCAAAGGATAAAGTACTCCAATAAACTCACCCATATCAATTTCTCCATCACCGTTTACATCACCCAGTTCAAAAATGGCTTTTATTTCCTCTCTATCAAACTTTGCCCCTGAAGAGGCAATCATCTCATCCATGCTGAGCAGGCCATCATTGTTAGTGTCAATAGATTTGAAGGCTGCTTTGATATCTGACAGGTTTCTGAAGTTTGCTCTGATTTTGGTGATAACTTCAGAGGCAGATGGGCTCATAAGATTTACAAACTCTAGCAGAGTAATCTCTCCATCTCCATCTTGATCTCCAAGACTGAAAATTGCATCCACCTCAACAGAGGAGAACGACTGTCCTGAACTCTTCAGAGCAGCATCAAGTTCTTCTTTGCAAAGAGCTCCATTGCCATTTCGATCAAATCTTTTAAAAGCTGCTCTAACGTCTTCAATGTTCTTATACTGGCTTCTAAACTTTGATATTATGGCAGAAGCAGAGGGACACATAAGTCCCACAAATTCTTCATAGTCAACGGTTCCATCTTTATTGACATCTCCAGCATTGAAAATGACGTTGATCTCCTGTTGGGTAAAATCCAGGCCACTGCTTGTAAGAGCTTGAGCAAGCTCTTCCCGATCAATGGCTCCATCACCGTTCATATCAAACCTCTTAAAAGCATTTTGAACATCTTTAACAGACTTATGAGCAGATCTAAACTTGGTTACAACATCTGAGGTAGTTGGCAGCATCAGTCTTTTAAACTCTTCAAGGTCAATTTCTCCATTTTGATCAACATCACCAATGACAAAAATTGCATTCATTTCTTCTTCAGAGAGCTTGTTTCCAGTTTTTGAAACAGCAGACTGCAGCTCTGTAAAGGAGATGGCACCATCCTGATTCAAATCCCAGCTTCTAAAAACATTTTCCACATCCTCCATGCTTCTGAATCCTTTCCTCAAGTTTGCAACAATCTCTCCAGCAGATGGGAACATCACTTGGACAAACTCAGCAATATCTATTTCTCCGTCACCGTTAATATCAGCAATCTCAAAAGCTGCCCGAGCTTCATCAAACGAGAACTGGCCTGACTGAACCATTCCATCCTCCAACTCTTGTCTTGAAATGTTTCCATCCCGGTTGATGTCATACTGGATGAAAGCAGCCTTCACCTAAATTTATGAATATGTTTCCCACACAAAAAAAACAGAGTTACATAAAACCTTTAAAACATATGTTTGTTATAAAATTACTGGAAAGGTCTGACCTGTTCGATGGTTGAGTAGAAACTTCTGAATTTTCCAACTACACCAGGCGCCATATCTGGAGACAGAACGTTAAAGTCGCCACCTGGCCGCGAAAAATCCAAAGAAATCTCTAGAACAAATACAAATAAGGAAAAATTGTCAAATTCTCTTTTTAACTTTAACTTTCTAAACTTTTTTAAACATTAAACTGAAGCAGTTAAAAAAAAAGTGTTAAAAAATGAGATACCTCTCTTTTTTTTATTGGCTTTAAAAGATTGTTCAGAAAGTTAATACAAAGTGTATTGATGCAATCGAAACTTTGATGTAGAATGTTAATTTAAAAAATCTTAATATGTGAAAATTTACATGAGTAGGGATATATATATATATATATGTATATAGATATTTGGATATATAATAAGACTATATAAAAATTGTAAATGATTGAAATTATTTTAGTTTCTAGAAAGCTGCAGATGTGATTTCTAGAATCATATTTGTAAAAATTATATTTACTAAAACTGAACGTATTTTCAAACAATTGAATTAAATTCAAACAATTTGATGTCATTAAATGGCAAATGTTCTATTATTTTCATTTTTGCAATACTTTTTCTAGCAATTTTATCTGCATGTAGAACTTTCCTAAAGCCGACACAAGCCTGAACAACTGCTGGCTTTCTAAACAATGCCAAATATTTAGCATAAAATTTAGCAAAGATAGGAGTTGTGGAAAGCAAAAATTGATCAAATTGAGAAAAATGTTTAAAATTTTGCTAAAAACAGATTATATCTGTATTCTGTATTCTGACCATCATTATGCCATTAAACAGATTTTTAAAACTATTCAAGAACTATTTAGAAAATTTCGGAACTGGGAAATTCTTAACATCGAATTATTGTTTAAAATGTTTAAAATAAGTTTTTCGAAAAGTAATTATTCTTAAAAAAATTAAAAGTTTTAACAAGATTGAAAAAGTTTGTTCATTTATGTGAAGCAGGGCTTGAACAGAAAATCATGATTCACATTGCTTAAATAGTTATTTTTACAAATTACAATTGCTACATTCAGAAAATATATATTTCCCACATAATAAAGTGGATATGTTTTATACCAGGAACCAATATTTATATGTATAAATTGATAAATAATTAGACATATTTGACTTCAGTAGACGAAGATTATATCAATACGATGAAGACGACTTTTTTACTAATAATTCTTTAATCCCAAACAGTATGCAAGTACACAAAAAGTAAATGCTTTCGATTGCTTATCAAGTAAAATCCGTAAGAAACCAAAATAGTATATAATTGAATTTCAAAGTTAAAAACATGAATATCTCTTTCATTCTTGATCATATATAGGTAAAAGTTGTTCATTAGTTTATACATGTGGATTTAACGGTTCTGTCAATATTCTGTTGCTTTTGATCACAGTCTGACCCATTAAACATAATTTTTTTAGCCTTTTTCCTTAAATACTTTTTTGTCACAATATACATTTTGAATGAAAAAGTATAAAATAAACAAATCCGTAAGGTGAAATATTGTTGACCAAAACACGTTTGATTTCAAATTAAAGAAACCGAATGCTGCTCACTCTGGTTAGTCCGGTGTGGGTACTCTATAATTTGAAATTGTACTTAGAATGATGTATACTAACCCTTTTTAAGTATTAAAAGAATGAGGCGAGAAGCGCAAAAAATATTTAAATGTTTTTACTATTCGAAAAAAAACAGAATCTAGTATTCTAAAAATATGTTTTGAAGTCACTAATCACTTAACACCCAGATAATTTTTCCTTCTAGTTTTAAATTTGTCAATTTGTTCACCTGTCTACCTGTCAACCTGTCCCCTTGTCTACCTGTCTACTTGTCTACTTGTCTACCTACCTACCTGTCTACCTTTCTACCTGTCTACCTGTCCACCTAGATACCTACTTGTCTACCTGTCTACCCATCCACTTATCTACCTATGTGTACTCCTGGCTACCGGATCTGAATCCCCCCTACCGACTGTATCTACTGTGTTCACCTGTGTTCACCTTTGATACCAAACTTTTTTTCCTGAGAAAGCTTTTCCTTTTGCTCGGCCGGTCCTTTGTCTCTAGTATCCAACAGTTGTGTTTCCAACTAGCCAGGGGTAAATATGGACACAAAGTAAAACAAAAACAAAAACAAAATTTTTTTTTTAAATCCATGAATTAAAACTAATATTTAAAATAAATCTATTTAACACATTACTGTTATCTTAAAAACAAAATTAAAAAGTCTGCAAATTCGAAAATTATTGTCTCATCTATGTAAGATAAAAACACAATTATATTTTGCCTTTTCTCTTAGAAACTTGTTTCTTTATTTTTTGGTTTCTTTTTAAAAATGTCAACAAATAATTGTAAGTCACTAGCAAGCAATTAAATTTATGTCATCACTCTCTCCGAGAATAGTTTTAGTTGAAATAGATTATTTTGTGTATGTAACCCTCCACGTAAAGGTGATAATGTCCTATTTAAAAGCGGTACCCTTGAAAGCTTTGTCTGGTCAAGTATGAAATAGATTTAGACGGTTTTTTTAAATTGTGGATTTTCTGCGGAGGTGGCTTGCGAATGTATTGCTTTTATGAAGCAATAAAGAAAATCTGCAAGAATAAACACTATTCGAGGTAGAAAAATTATTGTATCTGAAATCGGTTTTAAATCGGACATTGCCATCTTTGCCATAGCGCTTAAATAGTCCCTTTATATCTTGAATAAATATGTTGTAAGAAATATTTCCAAAATGATATGTAATTAAAGTAATTCCAAATTTTAAGAAAAAATTAGCTTACGCTGCAATTTATAAATCTTTAAGATTTTTATTACAAAATTAATAATTTAGTAGTAAATGGGATCTTCTACTTGTGTATGCGTAAACTAAAAAATAAAATTATTATTTTATCAACTTGATTCATTATTAGAACAAGAAAAAGACAAAAAAAACTCCAGAAAGTCGTCTTTAGAGTCTCATTTTAAATGTGTGTAACCCTTTATTTCTATTAATTTTAGATAAAGCTATCGTTGTTTTAGCAGTGAAATATATTTTTAAAATTAAGAAACGTAATATCCTGCAATACATCTATTTGTAATTTACTAACGAATTTCATAGGTCCTTAACCTACCCCCTCAATATATATATAAATAACACCGGTGTCCCTGAAAAAGCTTATTGGCCTGTCCTTAAGTTTACAAATTCGCTAAAATTTCCTAAATTTTCCTAAAATAACGCTTCTTCTTACAGAAAGCTACTTGATACTTAAGTTACAGAGAAATATATACAAAATACGTCATTTTAAATAAATACAACAAAAATTATAATTTGTTTATCAATTGAATATATAAATCAATATATAAATATTGACCCTATTAGGTTTTTTTCTGAATATTAAATTTATCTATATTTTTCCCTTTAAAGGTGTTGGTGTTGGTGTTGGTGTTGGTGTTGGTGTTGGTGTTGGTGTTGGTGGAAAGTCTTAATTCAATTCTTAGAAAACCTTTACATTAAGTTTATGTTTTACCGTTCTTGCCAAACAAAAGACATTTAATTATTATATTTTTTATAAAGGAATAATTTAATTTTTAGTAAAGTTTACATTAAGTTTATGTTAAAAATCATTTTAAAAAAATTTTCGTAACAAACATAACACTTTTTTATTTCTTATTTTCCAGCTAATTGCTTTATACAATTGTACTGTTAAAATAAACATTAATTTGTTATCGTAAACTCGTTCTGTGTACACAGATTTTAGCAATAAGCTTTATCTATCTATTGATAGGTGTAGAAAACCATAAATTAAGTTTAGAAGATAAATCTCTTCATTTTTTCCCAGGCAAACATTAAATTTTTTAAGAAAAAAAAATAAAAATGTTTTCGATTATTTTTCATTTTTATTTTAACTTACTGTCTCGTCCCCAGGGGGTAGGGGTAGGATTGGTCCAAGCTCTCTCATTGGTCACCTGTATTAAAGATTACTTAAAGGGACTGTAATCAGAATTTCAAGTGAACCTCCCATCTGAAGATTGCAACGCTAGATTTACAACTGTCCCCTTGAAAATGTGGAAGATATTGTCGTTTTTCTGACCAAAAAAGAAAATATACAGTTTTAAAAAAACACAAACATGTAAATCCTTGATTCTCAGATTTTAAGGAAAACGTTGTAAATTGGGCATCGCCATTTTTGCTATTAAATTTACACTATCAGTCCTGGCAAAAACGATGATTAAAGAGCAACTTAAATGTCATCTTCAATGCACAACAATAGTTTTTTAAGTTTGGACATTTTTGGGGAATTAATATTTCAAAATGTATTCATTACATATAAATGTTAATATTCTGCATGGCAAATGCTGTAAACTAAACAAAGATGAAGAAGATAAATGTAGGTGTGACTTTGTGACCTTGTAGTTCGATAGTTTTGACAAAGTTGTAACCAGCTGTTATTAGTTGAATAAAATAACGGTAACTAATATGAAAATAAAAAATAACTTAAATAAATAATAATAATTACCTTGAAAGTAGGAACCTTCATCCTTCCTGCTTTGAGATCGCATTTAGTATACCCAGGGGGGAAGTACGTATGTTCTTGTCTAAAAAAATAAAAAATTAAAAAAAGGTTTTATCGTAAACGAATTAATCCTTTCGTCGCACCCTCTGATTTTATAATCCCTTTATCTTTGTAACTCAATATTATAAACCTTAGTTATATTTCAAACGATGAAATATTTTAGATCTAATTGAGATATCAAAGATAATTTTTTAGAGAAGTAAAGTTTGTGCCAAAAAGTCATTTCCTTTAAAAACATTTCTATTGGTTTAAAAACTAAAGTATTAATATTTTACGATGAGGTGAAATCTTGTCATATATATTAAATTAAGATGCGTTGTTATGATTTAAAGATAAATTTTTAGCTATAGCTGTTTTGCATTTTATTTATACCAAAATTTAAGACTGAAGAAATGGTCTTTTTGTCTAAAATAATTTTAAGTTTCCATTTGTTCCAAAATTTATTACACATAGCGTTTACCATGATTTAATTTGTTTAACTTATTCAGGAGATAATCGGAGTTATAGACAGAAATTTACTTAAAAACTAAACACTAATTCTGAAATCACTTTTTTGGGAAAAGGAACTTTTTACAATGCACAATTTCTATGTTTTGTGCTCTTTGCGCTTTTTAAAGTTAAAACTTAATTCCAAAAGTCGTCTTTCTTCTTCAGAGTTTTCTAGTTATCACTGTACAATGTACAACAAATGACGAATACACATTTAAAGAAAGAACTTACTCGTTAGACATTGCAATGCTTCTTGTTGTTTCTTGAAGTAAAACTGCCGACGATTTTCTACCACCTAAATACAAGATTTTCTACCACCTAAATACAAGATTTTCTACCACCTAAATACAAGATTTTCTACCACCTAAATACAAGATTGATAATCATGGTACTAAGGCTGAGAAACGTTTTAGAACGTTAACGACATGGTTCCGTTAATGAACGGCAACCTAAGCTAACTTTAACGTTAAGAAAATTGGATGCACGTTACTGAACAGTTAATGTAAAGAATACATTACCTGTTGTTTTATATTAAATCGTTAATCTTAAATTTCTTCCCTTAACGTCGTTTGTGAGAGAGAACGGTAAAAACGAACAGTAACTTAAAATAAGAAGGGAAAATGCGAAAACGTTCAGTTTTTAACGGAAAACGAACAAACTTTTGGACGTTTTTGTACTGTGATCATCTTTCAAACACGGATTAAGAAAATAAAACAAAAATTCATTTCAAAATATATAAACAATGTAATTATAAAAAAGATTTGACCTGAACTTATTCCTGATGTAGGAGACAGAGTACCATTCCTGGAAACAGAAATACAGATTTTTTATTTTTTATTAATAGTACGCGTTCATTTCAAAGACCCAAATCAGGTTTAGAGGTCATGAAGTTGGGCTTAAAGACGTCTCTCTAATATTTTTTTTAAAAAATCTTTAATGAAATAAATTGACCACTCTTGATAGTGACTAGTTAGTTGGGTTCGAAATATTGTTCTTACTTTAATTATTATTATTATTATTATTATTATTATTATTATTATTATTATTATTATTGTTATTATTTAACTAGAGAAGGATGATTCATTTGGTGTACCGCCCCGTTTTGCCTTACATTTACATAGTCTGTATGTTTACTGCATGTTCAGCTTGCTCTAGGCTCTAGCTACTAAAAAGTCGGCCTGGTATTTAAAAAGAGCTGGAGTTTTAAGTTTAATCAGCCCCATTTAAAGACATTAACATGATAACTATTATGACAGAAATCTATTCTGGCCATTGGGGACATCCCATAGATAAATAAATAAAGGGACATCCTCATATAATACAACAGGTTCAGTGGAGTTTCAAATAGAAAAAATTGGTAGATTATGTCCAATTTAAAATGGATGAACAATCCCTTTAAAAAATATTACCTTCTAAGGGGTGGAGAAGTGACTGACAGGCTTCTTCTGAAGTCGTTGCTGAAAAAAATTTTAAATTTTAAATAAACTTTAAGATCAATTTTTTATAATCTTTAACTTCTTTTAGTTTTAATTTCAAAAAATGTTTTACAGAAGCGTCAAGAGCGTACACCGAGATAAATCTATGGGGGTCAAATATACGCGAAGCGCAGAATTTCCCCCTCCCTTTGAGCTCCCAGGGGGGGGGGGGCAAAATGTGAACTGTAAATTCAAAAAATTTGGCATCTTGGATACTTAAAAGGTACACAAACAGTCTAATTACCTTGCAAGTACTACTTTATCTCTCCTTCTAACAAAACTAGCAGAAAAAAACGGCAAATTTATTTTTTTATGCTGTTCACTGTTCAGATTCGGATTTGAAAAGTGTTATAGCTATGAGTTCTATGGGGGGCACTGTCCCCCTTACCCCCCCCCCCCCCTGTGTACGCCCTTGAGAAGTGTCTTTAACTAATGGACAACCAAAACATTGGTCAGAAACCTAGCTAACCTTAATAACCATGGAGGTTACAATGAAAGTTAACTCGGCCGTTTTGTAATATTGGAAGACGACATTTATATCATGTATGTATATTATATATTCTGTGTTGTAAAAAAACAAATAGTTTGCCAGAAGCTTGAAAAATCGTTATTTTTAATTTACTAATCTGTTTAGAGTGCACAATTGTTGTGTTTGACTGTTTATTTAAAAATCTAACATCAAACTTGAGTTTAAAACTTGTTTTCCTATTCCACGGTGTTATAGGCCCCATACATAACACCACTGAATATTGTTTCATTTAAGCGATATGGACAAAAATATTTTTAATTTTTACTTGATCACGACAAAAATATAAATTGTGTTCAGAAATTACAGAGATGAAATCGTTATGTTTTTTTGTTAAAACTTAATAAATTCTGATTAAAAAAAAGAAAAAGGGGCTGGGAGAAACAAAAATAATTTTTTTATGTGCTTTTAGTTTTACACAGATAAAAGGCTTTGCTTAAAAAAATTAGGTATTTCTTAAGATGAAAATTCAAAAAATTTAGTTTTACTTATCACACGGTAAATCACGGTTAAATTTTCAAGATTTTATACTTCACAGATTAACTTAATATTTAAACTGTTAAAATATGTTCAATAAGCTAAACATCGTCAAATTGATTAAAACCCTTATTTTGAAGAAAAAAGTTGTTAACTTTACATTAGTTTATGCAAAATATGGTTTAAAATGTGTTAATCCTATATTTGCATTAACGAGTTTATGAGAAAAAAGATGTACAATCTTTACGCACATAAATTTCGTTTAGGGGAAACTAACAACTAACTGAAGAAAGACGCATTTCCAATTGTAGAGTTTAACGTCTTGTTATCTTGAAATTATCTATTTTGTGAGAAAATTGTATTGTTAATCGGTAAAACTATATTACAATGACAGTTCCTCTACGATTGGCAGTAAATATCAACACTACTGCAAAAATAAAGCTTAAATAAGTTAGGTTAAAGTAAGGTGATAATTTAAAATGGTTTGCCTCCAAAAATGTGGATTGCATTAAGGGAGTGACCGGCTATGTAAGGTAGTTGAACTGAGTATGCAGTGTTGTGGAAAGCTTCTTTAGGATTCATTTGAGAAATATTTGATTTAATAATTAAAAAAAAAACTAATTCTGAACACGTATCCACCCCCAAAGTAGGAGTTTTGAACATCGAATTTGCGCTCAAACTCAGGATTTACATATCTTTAACAAGTTTAATGTGTCTCAAATGAATATGAAGGAAGTTTTCCACAACACTGCATACTCAGTTCAACTACCTTACATAACCGGTCACTCCCTTTAAAGGTCAAATTCACCAATGAAAATTGGAAATTTTTTGGATTGAATTATGTAGGAAGATAAAATGGTTGCATTCAAAACAATGCTTCAAGAATCTATCACGATCAGACGACGATCCCATCAATGTCAAAATGAATTAAAAAACATACAAAGGTGGCAAAGACCGTATACGGCGGTGGCCTTTATCTGCTCAATAATGTGGAAGATATTGTCGTTTTTTTTCTGGGTTTTAAAGTATTTAATTTAGATAATTCTGCTTTGTCTTCTTACAATAGAAATGCGCAAGTCGCTTTTGTAGAGAAACCACAATATAATATCTATTTCTTAATTGATGGTCGCAAATCGGGCATTATACCATCTTTACGTAGAGGTTCATTTAAAATTACGCTTACAGTCCCTTAAGCAAAAGATCCAAAACGGATTTGAATAAAATTGACGAGGTTGTGTCACGACACTAAGTTATGAGAAACTAATTGAGAATGTTTACTCTCAAAACGGATTTGAATAAAATTGACGAGGTTGTGTCACGACACTAAGTTATGAGAAACTAACTGAGAATGTTTGCTCTCAAAACGGATTTTAATAAAATTGACGAGGTTGCGTCACTACACTAAGTTATGAGAAACTAATTGAGAATGTTTACTCTCAAAGCTTATTCCTTAAATAGGGAAAGTCGGTTCTAGTGGGAAATATTGATTGATTGATGGACAAGTGAAAATTAACTTAATTTTGTACTTTATTAGTCAAATGCAATCTATTTACTTTTTGTATTTTTACTATTTGAGCATTTTTTTCGTGAATGTTTAATACTTAATTTTCATATTTATTTAGTACAAAACAGACCAGTACAGTACAATATAGCACAGTACAGTACAGTACAGCAAAGTACAGCATAGTAAATTTCAGCACAGTAAAGCACAGTACAGTACAGTACAGTACAGCACAGTACAGCACAGTACATCAAAGTAAAGCACAGTAAAGCACAGTAAATTTCAGCCCAGTAAAGCACAGTAAATTTCAGCCCAGTAAAGCACAGTACAGTACACTGCAGCAAAGCACAGCGCAGTACAGTACAATACAGCATAGTACAGTACATACCAAATTTTTCAAACTTTGCTGTAGATGTATTTCTAAGAAAAAATGACAGTTTTAGAATGTTCTACAAGAAATGTTGTAAAACAATAAACTTTTTATTTGACAATACAAATTCATTTAACAATTCATAAATATGTTTTAAGAACTCTTACTTTTACTTTCCAAGATTAGATAAACTGAGTCTTTTAGGTAGGATTGTAAGCGTAATTTAAAGTGAACCTCCATGCAAGGATGGCAATGCCCGATTTACAACGGTACCCTTAAACCTTTATTTCGTTTTTCTAGGTTTAAAAGTCTTTTGTAGAGAAACCACATTTAAAGATAATTAGTTTTCAAAATTGTAAACATTGATAAATATAATTTATACACGATCAGACAAAAGTTATAAGGGTGAATCGCGAAATGCCATCTTTGCATGTTATAGGGTCACCCTTAAAAAGTTATTTTATGTTTCTTTTTGTTCAGTTAGTTTAATAATAAATATCAAAGATAAAGGGGTAAACTAGTTTTACTTCAGATTATTTGGTTAAGATCAATAAGCAGTTTAGATATGCCAATAAAGGGGAAACAATTTAATAATTGTTAGTTAGACATTAAAGATTGCTATTTTTATGTCACTATAAATATACTAAAAGTCGGCTTTTAAAATTTTAGAATAAAAATTAAATCTAGTATAAGCATATTTAAGTGCAGGGCAAGGGTCACTTTGTAGCTTACTAATTCGTATAATGAACACTGGCTGATAATTCACGTGACACTGACCGTCTTTCCATAATCAGATTTTAGAATCACAAAAACTTCTCAATAAATTGGTCTCGAAATTACGCAATTGTGGTCGCAGTACCTGCCGGGTGGTCTGGGTAGATATTACCAGGTGACTGGATACTCGGTGTGTCCGGGTTGACCAGCCAAGCTGCCGGGGCGGACAATGGAAAGAATGCCAGAACAGAAAGTTGCAACGGACTGACCAGTGTGTATCAGGGTAGAGGCACAAACAATTTCACATCGTCTAGAACTCTCGCAACTAACAAAACAAAAATTAAATAGAGAAAAAAAATTCTACAATAATTTTTTTTTTTTCATTATAGCCTTTATCTAAGTTCCTTTCTGTTCTAAACTAAAATAATTATCTAAAGATGTTTAGAATGTGTAAAATGTTTACCTGTTTAATTTAGCTTGCTTGACCTCAGAAATGTCCTCTAAGGTATGCAGGATGTTAAATTCCTAACAGAATAAGTAGTCTTTACATACTAAAGTTTTAACTGAGAATTTTTGGATATTTAACTTTGAAAGGAATTGAGTCTTTGCAACAAACTCAAAATTTCTAATCCCTAAATATTTTCAACTTGATATTGCAAATCTTTGATATTTCAAATATAGTTTGAAATATCTATGGTCTACACCATCAAGTTCCAGAAATACAGGGTTCAGAAAATCAGAGTTTGTGTCTAAGAATCAATTCCTTTAAGTTTGCTGAAAACTAGGGCTAGGCAAAGTTCCATAATCGAAACGGAGGTTTTTGAAAATTAACATAAGAGTCTGGTAACGAGTGGCAGAAATTGTTATTTTTAAAATCGTTAACTAACGGCAACAGCCGTTTTTGAAGAAAAAAATTAAAGGTTGAAAAAAGTTTAATTGATCTTTTCCTGTTTTTTTCTCTCGCTTATTTTTTGAGTTTTATAGTTTTATGTATTTGGATGTTATTGAATGTATACTGTCTTCAAATGTTTCCAGGTTTTGTTACATAACATAATTGTTAACGGCGATCGTTAACTTTTGGCACTGGTAACTATTTCTAAAAGGGTCAGCCGTTTGAATTTGAACCACAGATTATTTAGCAACAAAAAATAACACTAGATGTCGTCTTTTCAAGATTTAGGGGTTTTCCGTTCACAATAACCTGAGGCAAGTCCTAAAGGGGTTACGCAAATAAGGCGTAGAACAGGCTCTGTCTCTGGAGAATGCGCGTAACTAGATTTTGCTTTTGTCTCAGGGTTATTATGAACAAAAACCCTAAATCTTGAAAAGACGACATCTAGTGTTCCATCTTTTACTATTAATTAATCAATGATTTGAACATTCTTGTATTAATATTTCATCTAGAAATATTTAGACATTAATTTCCTGGTTTGATAATAATATTCACCTACTAGATATATTAAAATAATTTAAATAGCTAAAGTTTTATACTGTAAGCTGTGTAGTTTGTACATTGTACAATTACAATTTTACTATCTTTATTGTTAATTTTATGCATGATTTCGCAACGTGAATTATCTTTTTTGCATATTTCTCTGTAAATTCTAAAGAATAAATTCATATGCAGGAAGACAAGCATTGTTCCCGATTTCCACACTACAAGTAGGAATGTTAATGAAAAACGACGACTAAAAATCGAAAACTAAATGATTGTTCTCATAGAAAAAAAATCGTTTGACATAAGTTTTTAAAAAAAAATCTACTCATTTTCTGCAATCAAACTCTTTAAAATGAGTTACGGAAGAGTTTTAACAAAAAGGAAATCTGTATTTGAACTGTTTATTTCAAGTAATCTATTCCATTGTGAATTATATTATTTCTGAATATGTGAGATGTGTATTAGAAAATCAAGAGAAACCAGCAATCCAACATAATTCTTTAAAAACATCTAATACTTTGGTTAAAGCCTATTGGCCATCATGTAATATAGGAATAAAGTGAATGTTCAATGTAAGGGACTGAATGTGTACTTTCAAGTGACCATCCATTGCAAAGATGGCAAATGCCAGATTTACAATAGTGCCATTAAAAGCCTCGTCTAATTAAGTATGAATTAGATATTCATGTTTTTGTTTCTTTAATCTGTTAATTTTCATTTGCGGTTTCTATGAAAAAGTGACTATAGTGCATTTATTGCTTATAAGAAACAATGAAAAAATTCACAAAATAAACACTTTTCTAGTCAGAAATATGACGTTATCTTCCATATTTTTGATCAGATAAAGGTTTCAGGTCTGGCATTTCCGCCATCTTTGCGTGGAGGGTCATTCCTGCATTCCTTTTTATATACCGTTTTAACCATCATACGCTGGGAAAAGGGGGAGGGTCAATTTGACCCCCCCCCCTTCCATGTTTGATTTCTAAATATGACCAATGATTACATCATTAAAAAGCTCTTATGCTCTACTTTTAGAATCTGCAAAAAAAATTGAAAATTTGCAAAAATTGATTTTTTGGCAAAATCCTGGTAAAAATAGTTTAAAAAAATGTCCAAAATGATAAAATATACAATTTTAAAGAGCCCTTGACCATGCCATTTCAAATATGCCAAAATTCTTGCAATAATTTAAATAACTCGATGTGTAATCAAGAAAAACTAAAATGTGCAAATTTCTTTTCTTATGCAAACAATTTGAAAAAAAATCTTTGCAAAACTTGTGCAATCAGTTTCCTTATGTCAATGGCTTTCAAAAAGTTAAAAATTATCAAACTCTGACAACTTAATGTGGGTCAAATCAAAGATTTGTAACTGGAAAGAGTAGGCATTCAGGCAGTGTGTCTGAGGACTCGGGCAGTTGGTTTAAAAGCCCGGTTTAAGACCTACAGAGAGATTTATTTTTTAATCATTTAAAGATTTTAACTTAACAGAAGAAAGAAATAGGACAATTATTCCACTATTTTCTGATTAGTACTGTACTGTACTTTAGTGTTGAAATTTCAAACTAGTTTTTTCAAACAAATAATTTAGAAATCCATAAAATATAATAATTATACCTCGTTGTGTGTATATGTAGTGTACTGTATACCAACATTTTAAATTAAAGAACATTGCATTGAAAGTGAAGGTTTATCATAAAAGAAACATAAAGAAAATAAAAATTCTCAGAAACCATTCGAAACCTTTCAGATAATGGGATGGTTTTAATCTATAAATGGAGCTTTTGCTGCTTATTTTCTTTATCTTTTCTGCTAGGTTTGAGGTGTTGAAGGTGATATTAAAAAGTGAAAGTTTATCATGAACCATAATTAAATAGTTGTAAGATTGGCATAAGATAGTGTAAGATGAAAAGCATTGATCAATTATATTTAAATATTGTAATTCCTATAACCTCAAATTAAGAATATCCAAATTGCATATTAAATAAAAAAATGAAAAGTTGAGTTATTTTAAGTTATAAATATTGTTAATTAAGTATTACTATTATTAAAATAAGATGTTGGTTGAACCCTAAGATTTAGTCCGATTGATGCCTTTAATAAGCTAAAAACTTTGACCACAAAACAGAAATTCATTCTAAGAATTTTAGAAAGCAAATATTTTGCATTTTGCAAAAAGAAACTTCTCTGTCTTATCTTTCGTAATATCAGAATTTCTCAAAACTGACTGGAAAAAACAAACTATTATGGTAAATATGACAAAAGACAACTTGCAAATAGAGTTTACAAGTATGAAATAGATATTATTTTTGCTTAGTAACAACTTTGTATAAAACTCCTTGTTGTTAAGTTGAAAATATGTCTCCATTACGTAAATCAGTGTGCAGTGCACAGCTATTTTCTAATCCCTTTCTCAGTATAACAGTATATCAGTGGTTGGTCTTTGTTTGAAATCCTTGTCTGTTATATTGTATATCAATGGTTGGTACATGTTGGAAATCTATGTCTGTTATATTGTATATCAATGGTTGGTACATGTTGGAAATCTATGTTTGTTATATTGTATATCAATGGTTGGTACATGTTGGAAATCTATGTCTGTTTATTTGTATATCAATGGTAATACCTGAATTTTGTATAAGATATTGATCAAGAATAGTAGCTTTCCTTCCCTTTAAGTATTGGAACCCTAGAGTTTCCAGACGGACAGTTATATATCAGGAACCCTAGAGTTCCTGGTGGACAGTTTTATATCAGGAACCCTAGAGTTTCCTGCCGGACACCCTTATATAAGGAATGAAGGACTTTAAAAGGATTTTTTTAAATTTAAAATATTCAACGTCTTATTCAAATAATTTTGAAAAATAAATCTCCAAAAGAAAATGTAAAGTTCAAATAAAGAATCATACTCTAAACATATTGCTTTTCGACACCTAGAAAATTGTCCTATCACAGCCCCTATATAAAATAAATATTTTTTGAAAGGAATAAATTGGAAAATGTAATTTGGGAAACAATTTTATCTTTAATTTTTGAATCGCGGTATTTCCCAGTAGTGATATTTGAAATCCGAAATGAGAAAACTAAATTTAAACTTTCATTTTTTAATTAAACTAATAAATGCTTCAAAAATAAAAGTTTAAATTTTATTTTCTCATTTTGGATTTTTAAAATTCACTATCGCCAATATCACAGTTTGAAAATAAATGTTTAAAATTTTATTTTCTCATTTTGAATTTTCAAATCTCACCAGATGTCAATGCAACGATTAAAAAATAAAAGTTGAATTTTATTTTCTCAATTGAAATTTGAATCGCAAGACCTTCAAAAACCAAAGTTTTAATTTACTTACATTATCTCTAATATTGAAAAAAAAGACATTTTATAAACTAAAAGGTCTCAAGAAAAGGTACAATACCATTACTGTTTAAATTTTTACGTACATATTTACGCAAATAAAGCATTCTATCAAACGCCTTCCCCCTTTCCCTACGATTCCCGGCCCCTATCATTTTCTTTCCTACGGTACTTACCCCTTTCTCTCCCTCTTCTCCTGGGAAACTATTATTCTTTAACGGAATCGTACTGAATTAACAAGAATGAAGACATTTTTCCAAAAATTTAAAATAACTAACAAGGAACGAACATTAACATTAAAAATAAGGAACGCGTTCTTAAGCTTTGTCAAGGACAGCTTTTTAAAAAATAGACCTCTAAGGTAGGTAAGGGTTTTAAAAGTGAGACAAATTTTTTAAATTATTTCTTTTATTTTGGACAAGTATTGACATGTAACACATATTATTCTAGAATGAGAAACGATAAAAATTGTCGTCGTTTTTTAGTGTTTACAATTATCCACCATTAACAAACGGTTGGCTGGAACTATCAAGAACACAAAGACTGGAACGTGGATGGAACAATTGAAAAAAGATAGCACGAGGAATGGACGACACAGCTGAAGGCTTTCGTTCTAGAACAAGGGACGAAAAAAAAGCATGCCCAGCCCTACCTAGGGAACTTTTTATTCAACCATTAATCTGCAGTGAAGTTAATCAACATGCACCCCCCCCCCCCTGACCAGGAGAGTATTTCTAGTGTGACTTCTGGTTATAATTTTCCTTTTAGCTCCAACTTTTTCAATTATTTGCAAAGGAAAAAAGATGAGCTCATTTTGTTCCTTTGTCAAGAAAAAGGAGAGTTTCTCCAAACTTTAAACTAAAATATTTTTTATCCTTCTTATTTTCTCAAAACTGTTTTAATATTTGTGAGTAGAGGAGAGAAGTGGGGAAAGTGGGGAAGTGGGGAGGGGGGGGGGTAGGGGCTTTATAACCGTAAAGGGGACATATGGTCTCAAAAATTACCCCCTCCACTCCCTCCCATGAAAAAAGTATCCGTATAATAAACATTTCTCTGGGATGTGATATTAGGGGTGTAATGCGAAATGTTCGGCTGAACTATGTCCCCATTTCGCGAGAAACCCCTTGACGTTTCTTTGTTAAAATAGCCATGTTCAATATAATAGGAACTGAGTCTGTGGCACAAACTCTGGTGTTATAATCCTTATATCTTTGCAATCGAAAGTTGCAGACCTGAGATTTTTGAAACTTAGAACTCTGTAAGATTGAAGAGTCTAAATTTAAATATAAAAGGCTTCCACCATCAGGTTGAAAAAATATAGGGATTAAAAAATTTGAGTTTGTGGCAAAGAGTCAATTCCTTTAGGTAAGAGATGACCTGATTTAAAATAATGAAATATTTTTGTTTCACGTGAAATATAGTATATTTCTGCTCGAGCATATATATTTAAAGCTAGGTCCCATTTTACAAGAATTGTTCAATAATGTATATGTTGAAGGATTGATATATAATGACATATAATGACAAATATGTTATGAATTGATTAATAATTAATGTTGCCAATTTTGCATAACTTGTCATATTTTTGTAAAACTACAGTTGATGAGAAAAACAATAAACACTGGATAAGCAGTGTTTTACGAAACAGTAAAATTATTTGCAGGTTTTTGGTATAGACAAATATTAAAACAAAATGAAGTAAATTCAAATAAAAATACTCCCTCCTCTTACAAATATGAGAGGAGGAGAAGCAGGTGATACTTAATCTTAATGGAAGAATTTTTAGGGTTAATGTGCTAAAATAAATTCCATCCTCTGTTAAACCTATTCAGATACCAACAAGTTGAACTGTTAAAATTTTGAACTGTCTAAAAAAGATAAATTAGTGTTGTTTAAAAGGTATTTGCAATGCAACGTAACATTGACGAAAATGCTAAAAAAATAATTGTTATGTAAAAGCTGGGACGTGTCGCGAATATTTAGCCACAAATGTTGGCTGGTCTGTGGCATGAATTAACATCTGAATGTAAAATGTCGATGGTATGTTTTAATTTAATGTCTATCAATAGTTATTCAATGTTTGAAACCCAGGTCTGTATAACAGTTTATCAATTGGTTGGTCTATGTTTAAAATCCTTGTCTTTATAATTGAATAGTAATGGCTTCTTTATGTTTGAAATCCTTGTCTGTATAATTGTATATCAATGGTTTCTATACGTTTAAAATCCTTGTCTGTATAATTGTATATCAATGGTTAGTACATGAGTAGGTTACAGTTTACGTAAAAACCTCGGGGTTATACGCTCTACACATTCTCTATATTTTAATATACAGTAGAAGTCAGAAAATTGTGGACTAAAGGTCGTCTTTAACCTTAAAATAGTCAATGAGTTGCAATAGATATTATACACTAGCTGAAGTGCCCGGCCTTGCCCGTGGAATTTTAAAAACAATTAAAACATTTAGCCTATCCCAGGGCAGCCATGGGTTTCCTCAAAAAAAAATAAGCTAATTTGGTCAATCTGTTTGGCTAGTTATTGCTAACATATGAACATAGAGCTTTTTTATTTTGAAGATAAATTGATTTTTTGAAAATAAATATTAGTATGAGATAATAAACCATTACCATCACAACACAAAGAAGATTTTAAATTAATGAGGGGTTAGCATTCAGTCCTTACTTTAAACTCATCTAGTTTAAAGTCGTTCAAAAATAAAATGTCATAGTTTTTAATTTATTAGTTTTAAATTTTTTTTCGAAAACTTGGAATTTTAAGTTTTTAAAAATATTTTGTGTACATTTACGGAATTCTTTTAAATAGCTCGAGAAACAACAGAATTTTAACCTTGCCCAGTTAGTCCATTAGCATAAAACTAGGGGTGTGCGTTTTTGCAATTTTTTTTTTCATTTATTCAAATTTAAGCTTAAATCATTAATATATTTAAACATTATTTATTAAATTATAAAACTACAAAATATCAAGATTTCACAGATGTTTCTGTATATGTCATTGGAGTTATTAGATCTTTAAAATCTAATTTTATTTTCAGTTCCCCTTAAACTTTCCCTGGCCCCTTGTGCCTAATAGATTTAGCTATTTTGGCGTTTATTTGATACAAACTATACCTATAGGCTGCTTTAGCTAGTTGATGGTAATATATCACAAAATATTAATAACAATAAATACGTTCTTCTGTAAATCTACTTGTAGAGTAAATAATACTAAATAAATATTACAGTGTCAGCATTTTTTTTCAATTCTTTAAATATTGATTATTTGTGTTTATTTAAAGGTTTCAATTTGTTTTCAATAATATGACGTCATTCACCAGAGTACTAAGAATAAACGGAACAAACCAAATCAGTGGTAAATTTAATGCATAAATAATGAAGGTATGTTGCAAATAATTTTTGCATGATTTAAAATTGGACTTTGATCGATTTCGCAAGTTTAAATTGCCCAAGTCCCGATTTAGGGTGTGCTTTCATTTGGTTTGCTTTTGAGAAGTTTTTAAGCAAAAATTTTTTCAGAGCCAAAAATATAAAAAGGCCCCAAAAATGATCCAAAAACTACAGTGATAACCAAAAACTCTGAAATAGGAAGACGACTTAATTTTATTTGATGGTTTTACAAAACAAACAGTTCAACTAGACATTAATTAAATCACTAATTAAGTGAAATGAGTCTGTTTAAAATGTACAATTGCCGCGAACCATGCTTATTGGACCATTTATAGTCATATCTTCAGCCTGAAAGTCGTCTTTACACTTCACTGACGTGTCCTGTAACTCAAACACAGGGAGGGGGAGGGGGGCTGTTTTGGAACCCCCACTCTATTTACTTGCTGTTTTGGGACCCCCACTCTATTTACTTGCTGTTTTGGGACCCGCACTCTATTTGCTGGCTGTTTTGGAACCCCCACTCTATTTACTTGCTGTTTTGGAACCCCCACCTATTTACTTGCTGTTTTAGAACCCCCCACTCTATTTACTTGCTGTTTTGAGACCCCCCAATCTATTTACTTGCTGTTTTGAGACCTCCCACTCTTTTAACTTGCTGTTTTGGAACCCCCACTCTATATACTTGCTGTTTTTGAACCCCCACTCTATTTACTTGCTGTTTTGGAACCCCCACTCTATATACTTGCTGTTTTAGAACCCCCACTCTATTTACTTATTGTTTTGGAACCCCCACTCTATTAACTTGCTGTTTTTGAACCTCCAACCTATTTACTTGCTGTAATACCTATTTATCTAAACATGAAACACCTCTTAAAGTGCCCTTAGGCTCTACTCTAACAAAAATAAAGCAGATTTGCAAAAATCCAAATATTTATGGCGAAATCCGGTTTAATTTAGAAATCATGAATTAAGTGGGTTTAATTGTTTTACAGTTGAACCCAGGCCGACGGAGAAACTGGAATAATTTACAAAATGTCGTTTTCTAAACATAAATACAGATATTTAGTTTTCTCATTTAATAATCTTATGAAGCTCTTTAAAACTGTTCCTTCATACTTCATGGCTATTTATTTATTTTTACAATTACTGAGATACAGGCATAATAGTAAAAAAAATCAAGAGCACATTTTATAATTCTTTCGATGTCTTTAAAATTCTGGGCTAAACTGTATGTTTCCAGTCAAAGCTGGGTCCCGGCAAGACAATAGTAATAAAGTAGGTGTGTACAATTTAAGATTAACAGTATATGTCATGTATTTTTTAAAAGATATTTCGTAGTGTAATTTGCAGATTATATATATTTCATAATATATTTGCAAGTGTAGTATGCAGATTATATATATTTCAAAATATATTTGCAAGTGTAGAATGCAGATTAAATATATTTCAAAATATATTTGTTAGTGTAGTATACTGATTATATACATTTCAGAATATATTTGCAAGTGTAGTATGCAGATTATATATATTTCAGAATATATTTGCAAGTGTAGTATGCAGATTATATATATTTCAGAATATATTTGCAAGTGTAGTATGCAGATTATATATATTTCAGAATATGTTTGCAAGTGTTTAGTATGCACATTATGAACAATGTCGGGTCGGAGTAGTAGATCCACCAGATCAAACCATCACATGGGACAGAAGAAGAAGGTACAGATTCTCCCATTAAACAGGGGATTCAGTGACGACTTTTGCATCGTCTTTGTTCTGCGCGGCATTATTTCGTGGAAGAAATTTGGTCTTCCATTTTGAACCTTTGAATTAGACGCAGATATCGTAAGAGGAATTGAGTTTTGTCACAAACTCAGATTGTCTAAAACTTATATCTTTGCAACCCAAAGTCGCCTAACTTGGATATATCTAAGTTGGAAAATGTTAAAAGTTTAAACCAATTAGAAAGTTTGTGAAATATACATAATTCCTTTGTTAAGGTATAATTTTTAAGCTGTTCAAATGTTGAATATTTCCGTCAATTTTAAGAGCAAAGACGAAAAATAGATTATTGCATTTGTTTTTTATAAACTTTGTTGTCCTCGATGAATTATCAAAAAAAAAAGATTTGAAGTAATTTCTTAATTCCAATTTGTTGCTAAATATCAAAAATAAATAAATTATCAAGTGGACCAAAGATTTGTTCTCAATAAATAATGAGAACCAGTTGGCCCAAATAAAATGATTTTCAAAAATTCAAAAACCAACTAAATTGTACGATTCAGTGGCTCGAGCCACAACTTTAGATACCATTCCGACAAGTTATAATAAAATTGATAAATCGAACTCTCTAGGGTCTATTGGCCAGAATATATAAAAAATTTTTTTTGTGCATAGGTTAAAATGAATAATATTTTTGTGTTTGTATTTTGTATTTTATTTTGAACGTTTCTGTGACAGATCTTTTATTTAAACCTAAGACCGTGTAATAGAGAAATAAAGATATTTAGCTCAGATCAGGTTTTCATAAATATCTAGAAAGTTTAAAAATATTTTTTAACCTGAGAATTTTTTGTGCATAGGTTAAAATGAATAATATTTTTGTGTTTGTATTTTGTATATTATATTGAACTTTTGTATGATAGTTTCTTGATTTAAACCTATAAGACCGTGTAATAGAGAAATAAAGATATTTAGCTCAGATCAAATATTTATCTTCTTTCTTCTTTACTTCAATATACAGTGGTCAGCCTTTATGTATATATTATATATATATATTATATTATTAACTATAAAGCAATAATCAGAACAGCTTCTCAGTTTTCATATTTATTAATACAAATTGTTTCAGATCTCTCGATCCTCATCAGTCAATAAACATGGGTTATATTATTATATAATTTCCTTTTTAAGACTTAAAAACATTTTATATAATTTATGAAATTTTAATGCAATATATGTATCTTCTTTTTTCTTTACTATAATATACAGTGGTCACCCTTTACTTCAATATACAGTGGTCAGCCTTTACTTCAATATACAGTGGTCAGCCTTTACGTCCATATACAGTGGTCAGACTTTACTTCAATATACAGTGGTCAGCCTTTACTTCAATATACAGTGGTCAGCCTTTACTTCAATATACAGTGGTCAGCCTTTACGTCAATATACAGTAGTCAGTCTTTACGTCAATATAATGTGGTCAGCCTTTACTTCAATATACAGTGGTCAGCCTTTACGTCAATATACAGTAGTCAGTCTTTACGTCAATATAAAGTGATCAGCATTTACGTCAATATACAGCGGTCAGCCTTTACGTCAATATACAGTGTTGAGCCTTTACGTCAATAGACTTCCTGTTTAAGCTTTATTGCCAACAACATTTTTATTCTGCAGAGACAAACATGTAAACAAAGTCAAGCTGTTAACTTTTTTATTTTGTCACATTAATTCGGGTAATTAATTGGCTGTAGGAAAACATAAATAATATTAAGTTTATTTTTTTTTGGTTCCTATGTTTGAATATGATTTTCAAGGTTATAATGCAAGGAAAGTTAATTGCAGTTGCGTATACTCTGCGTACATTAAAACCAGTTCTTTCTGGGCGGAATTTGTAAACAAGAACGGGTGTATCAGTGTTCGTTTAGTATCCAAGGAGGTTAAAAGCATTACATTTTGATCATTTTGATAATTCACATAATAGTTTCCTTTGACCAGAATATTTCATTGATTTTATTTGTAAATGATAGATGAATCCTATGTCAGGCTTCGACATCCGTCTTTTGTTTACTTTTCCGCCCAGAGACAGTACACTGTAGTACATAAGATGCGTACACCAATGAAATAGCTTTCCTTGCATTTCAATCACAGCAGTGTGGGAAAGGAAGTACACATTTAGAAGTTTAGATCACATGAAGTACACATATGGTGACATATGGAAGTACACCCCAATGAAGAACATATGAAGTACCCATGAAAGTTATACACATAAAGTACACACGGAAGTACACATAAAGTACACACGGAAGTACACATGAAGTATATACAAAGAACAAATGAAGTACTAAAATATATGACTGAGCTGCGGTATTAAACCTTGCTAGAAATTAAAACTGAGATAAATTAAATCTTTGTTATTGTATTGAAGTATACGACGACCACTGTTTATAAAACAAGATGGTTTTCCTTATTTCATTAATTGTTTGAACTCTTCAAACTCAGATATTGCACATTATTTAAATTTAATTTGATTAACTAAACTTATCTTGCACTGTCATCTCTACAATTTGAATAGAGAATAATTATGATTAAGATCAAATCAGAATGAAATATAAAGTATAATTATTTTAAGCATTTTAATCTAGATTTGATTAATTTTACAATCTTGCAACAGAAATGGTTATAATTTATGATTAATCCAACTTTTAAGGGTTCAATTGTTTTTGCCCATAATTATAGGTATGATAAAAATATTTTTCTGAAGTATATGTCATTTAAATTGAAAGCCTCGAGGTTTTTTGTTTTAAACATTTAAAAAGAAATAAATTCGTTTTAGCTGATTTAGTATTATTCAATTCTGTATTGAGATATTAATCTGCAAATCAAATATAATTTTAACACGTGGATCAGATCGAAACCCCACAGATATTCTAAATGTTTAAAGTTTCAATCAACAATGTCATTTTAGGGGGGGGGAGATTTTTTCCAACCAATGTAATACATATAAAGTAAAACATTTAATTGTTTTTAGGTTCACTCCCTTCCACCCTTAGAAGGAAAACGACGGGATTCAAAACAAAGTCTTAGAACTCAGGTCAGTGTAGTTTATCACATTAAAGGAACTGAGCTTGGAACTTTTGAATGGTGAATATCGGGATTAATGATTGATCCAATCTTTTTCTTAATCTCGAGATTAAATATTTCTTGTTTTCCACTTGTTATTAATCTCCAGATTAGTTAACCGATCGGGATTAAGGATATCCCATTTTAAAGTTTTCAGCTCTGATTGTATAGAATGAAACATAATGCAAAGTAACCTTGCCATGCTAAATTAAACGTACTGGGTCGACTTTACACCAAGGGTGTTTATTAAGGTTTGCATACTTTCGGGAAATGTCGTCTTCTAAGTAATAAATGTTAACAATTCTAGAGGCAAGTGTAGGGATTAGTTAGTGACGTCATTTATGAATATTACGTTCGTCTACGTAGAAGACGAAATTTTCAATACATTGGAGCGCATCGACAATAAGAAACCGTAGTAAACAACCTTGCTCTATCACCAAGGAGATATTGAATAGAAAGAGGGGGCGATAGGGTTTCCGTGCACTTTGCTGTGACGTTTTTGGACTGCTGAAGAACTAGTTTTTGCTAAACAACAATAATAAAGATTGTAAACAATAACGCAAATGATAAACAGACATCTAGCATCTCTGGCGTATTTAAATGGGGGGGGGGGGGGGGGGGCAGGATGACGTTGAATTTGATTGAAAATGTCGCTGTAATAAGTTCCTTTTTGTATAAAACTAAAATCCTTAACTTTTTCAATCTTTTTTAACAAGATAATACTACTTTCACAGTTTACTAACTCATGTTTGTTTACATTAATTAGATCGGCTGCCTTTGTTATTATTGTTACGCAAAAACTAGTTCTTCAGCAGTCCAAAAACGTCACAGCAAAGTGTACGGAAACCCTGTCGCCCCCTCCTTCTATTCAATATCTCCTTGCTCTACACTGTGTAGTCCAGACTGTACGATACAGACAGTACGATACAGACAGTACGATACAGACAGTACGACTGAATATCTCAAAAAAAGAAGTATTAATTTATAGATTTTTTTATTACTTCGTATCTTTACAATACATTTAACTTGTCTGTGCATCATGCACGGAACAAAAAAGATTTACTCAGAACAATGAAAAGAAAGCTGGGATAAAATTATTAAATTATATTTTGATAATGTTGAAAAGGGCATCTGTAGGTTTTTTTTTATATTTTAGCTGAACCTTTAATTTGTTTTATTAACACTTTTGTCGTAATTTGTAAGAATTGTTTTTAAAATGATTATTAGCTTATAAAATTATCTTTTAAAATTCGGTGAAGGTGATGGACTAAACCTCTGTAGAGTAAAAACAGTAGATGTTAGTTCCACATTCATCGAAAATATATTTCGGTCTGGGTTGACCCTCGTCAGTTCTAACGATATAGTAACCATCAAAATCGCTAAAAAAAAATTAAAAATTGTTTAAACCAACAAGAAAATAAACAAACAATAAAGATTATTTTAAAAAAAATTGGGCTGTCAAATGGGCATCAAGGAAACGAACTCATATTATGAGATGGAAAAAAAGATTGTATGCAAATATTTACTTTATAAAAATGTTTTAAGACAATTATTATTCCTTAAGATTTTTTCTATCACAAAGATTAAAAACAAACTGTTTAGATGTATGTGTTTAAAGTGGTGGTTGGGGGGTCGATCTAATTAACGAACTTTTTCGTAAATCGAGGGGAGGGGGAGGTGGGGGGACGGCTTGTTTAAGGAGGGGTTTTTAAACCTTTTAAAGAATTAATAATACTCTTTTTAAAATTATCCTTGTAGAAGAGTAGAAAACAATTAATACAAAAGCAAATTATAGAGTTTTATTTTATGTTAAAGAATAAAAAGATTTTACCAAAGAGTATTATGCTTGATTTTGGCAAGTTGTATTTTCTTTTATTCTTTCATTTTATGAAAGAATATGAGTGATCCTGTTTAATAGAAGTATTAGTATTTCATAAGAAGAACTTTTGTTAATCCGAGGATTGGATATTACAGGGTATACAGGGACTGGTATCTAATTCGTTTTAAAGGACTTGTTACGTTTTCTATTTATTTAAGACATAAAAAAAGATTCTCCTTTTCATAAAAATTAAAGCTGAAATATAACAAACAAAATATTGTTTATGAAAAAACGTAATTTAACTTATCATTTTTAGAGCCTGGGTCTGGGAGTGGGAATGCCTGATCGTCAACGGATAATTGGTTCTCCTGCTCCCCAGGCCTACAGGAGAGAATTATGATTTTGTCGCTAGATGTCTCTGATCACGACAAACTCCGGGAAGACTTTTAGCATGCCGGCAAACTTCCCAGAGCCCAAATTCTAATAATGCAAACTCCTAAAGATTTTTTTAATACAGGTCTCCTCGAAAAAAGTCGAAAGATAGCATCAAGAAAAGTCATCAAAAATATATTTTTAAGAAAAGGATATCATTGGGAAACCCATCTTAAGCGACAGGCAATCTCTGAAATTCTGAAGTTAATTTTTGGACGTCTAATACATGTAAAGCTGGCAATGCCCAAATCACAACAGTACGTAACCTATAATTCTTTAACTGATCAAGATTCGAAAAGTGTTTATTTCCAATAATTTATCCATTTTTTCATTTAAGCAAAGAAAATAAACAGTTTAAAGAAACAATTAAACATAAATATCTAATTCATACTTGATCAGAGAAAGTTTTCAAGGGTACCGTTGTAAATCGAGCATGTTATTCTCTTTAAGATAGGGTATCTTGTAATTATTCGCTTACAGTCCCTTTAAGTTGTCTGTTCCAAATTGTGTCACTTTAAAATCCAAAGAGAATTTTGTATAACGAGAACTTGATTCCAAGTGTTGAGTTTGCATTTTGACAATTTTTCCCTGAGTTTTCATTCTTTCAAAAATAAATATTTAAGTGTTTTATTACTTTAATTTCTCTATTGTTCTTGTAAAATCAAAGCGAAAGAAGGAAAGTTGAACATACAAAAACTCCAAGTACTTATACAGGACGAACCATAAAACTGTGGAATAGGAAGATGAGTTTTAAACTCAAGGTAGTTCATGAAACACAGTAATTATGCAGTGTAAACTCAAAAGTCGTCTTCCTAGTTCACAGTATTCTGGTTCTCACTGATGTATTAAAATATGGGTTGGTAATATTATTCAGAAGGATTAAAATTCTTCCTTTTCTTTTCCTTGTCTATAAATTCAGTGCTGAACAATAAATTAATTTTCCCTAAATTTCCGAAACATTTAACATTAAATTGAAAATAGCTGACTGAGCAAAAAAATCAAGGTCGTTTGAAAATGCATGAAATCTCATATTTCTACTTTTTGCAGACAGCAGATAGAGAAAAACAGAAATAAGGTTAGTCAACAAAAAACAGGGTTCCCAGTTTTGTTATAAAAACATTTGTTAATTCTTAACCCTTTTTCAACCCCCCCCCCATTCACATCCCTCAGCCCTTCCCCCAGAACGTTAGGAATTGTTTACAATAGGTTTTGTTTTCACTGCAATACTAAAACTAGAATTATCCCCATAAATATTATAAATAAGAAAACAAAATTTGTATAATCTTTTTTGCAATAAAGCAAATCATTTTATCAGTAGCTTTTTAAATAAAATTGATCTGTGTGCATTGTACTATTGTCGTGTTTATTTAAAACGCTGTCGTGAGTCGAAATGTCGTCTTCCTATTCCACTGTTTTATGGGTCATCAGAAGGGAGATATATTTGTAACTATTGAATTTGTTTAAAAATATGTATCAGTATACACACGGGAAGAAAATTTATGTATTCCGTGAAGCAGTTAATTAAAAAGCTGTCTTCTACTAGAAATAAATTAGGAGTAAACGTTTAGAAAAAAGAAAATGTTTAAACATATTGAGCAGACTGAGTATTTATTTTAATTACAGGTCGTCGTTGTAATTAAAGTGAGGCCCTGTATTTGAGAGATGAGCATGCCATTCAAAACCTTAATCTGACCTGATCAATTTTGTTGAAGAAACGTTGATAACCAGAAAACTGTGAAATATGAAGACGATATTAATAAAATACTGAAGCAAACAGTTTCAATAGTAACGTATTTAATTACTTAATAAGTGAATTCGGTCTGTATACATTCATTTGCCTATTTAAATTCATAACTTACGTTTTCAGGTCGTCTTCCTATTCCAGAATTTTCTGGGTTTCACTGTAGAGAAACCACAAATGGAAAAATAGTTTTTACTATAAATACGTACATGGATATCTAATTTAAATAGTCGAGTTGATCAGAAAAAGTATTTAATAGTATATTGTTGTGACTTGACATTACAGTCCTGTTAACTTAAATATACTACATAGAGGGCTACTTGACTAATGATTATACAAAAATGTTAAATATATTAATTAAATAATCCTGAATACAATTAACTAACTATTATTCAGTGTTATACATTCAGACAATGAAAATACTTTTGANTCAGAGCTGAAAACTTTAGTATCGCGGATATCAAGATCAATGTTTTTAATATGCGGATTATTTAATCTTACATTATGTCAAGGATAGTGCCTGAAATGCAATCAAGTAGAGTATCAATTGCAGGAACCAAACATCTAATCAGAATCCTGGAAATCTTGCAATCAAAGATAGAACTCTCATTGGTCGGAATCCAGCAGGGATATATCCAATAGCAGGGATATATCCAATAGCGAGGATTTAGCAGAAATTGAAAGTATCCACTCCACAGTGGATATCGAGCTTTGACAATCGGGATAAAGGGTATATCCAATACAAGAGGTGTTAGCTCTGGTTACTCTGGTAATATTAAGTGATATTATGTATCTACATTCTGTACTCAGGGAGTAGGTTGTCAACAAATTATGTCAATTAAGATTTAAAATCATTACTTTTTACTTGGTTTTACTTATAATTAAAAGATTTTTTTTATTCAAATAATTACAATTTTGGAAAATTGTAAAATCAAACCCGAAAATATTTTAAAAACTCATAGAAAAAATATTTAGTTTAGGCTAAATAACGGTTCTATAATTCTTTTTTAAATGAAGATTTGTTTTGTGATATAACTTATTCTGGCTATTCAACTTTCAAAATATCGTGGTAATTTCAATATTTAATCTGTAATACATGAATTGCTGCATTTATAAGCAACAAGCTACAGGGTGTTCCACGAAACATGACAGTTGGTAAATAGTTTTGAATGTCGGCTTCCATACACTGTATTAGATATTAAAGGCTGTATACAGTTTATTTCGTTTAAAAAATCTTTTGCCAAAATATATTTTACTATGAAATTAATTTTACTATATTATGGCTTCTATATAAAATTTTATTATTGTCTTTGGTATTATACTACTTAAAAAAAAATGGAAGTTGACATTTTAAATTATTTACCAACTTTCTTGTTTCGTGGGACACCTTGTATTATACACTCCTGTAGCCGAGTCCATGAAAGCGCCTGATCCAATCATGGTTCAGTCATGTGTTTGTTGTCTATTCTGAACCAATAGAAATATATAGTATGGCGGTAACCTCTATCTTTCTATCTATCTTATTATCCAATCAGATAGATGAATCCTTCAATCGGCGCTAGCAATGAATGAAGATATTTAAATCTACTGAAACTATAACTATTGCATAATTCTAAATACTTTGATCAACTGTAAGTATAATTTCTGGTTAATTATCTAACTTTGAATTCCAGTTTTAAACAAATAATTTTACTCAAAGAGAACTCAATGCTTGTAATAACTTTATCACAACATTACAAAGCGATTTATATGCGATGTAATACTTAAAATTCTCTTGAATGCATTTAAAGGGACTGTTAACGTAATTTAAAGAGTTATGTCACTGACTCACAAGTCACAACGGTATCATTAAACCTTTGATATAGCAAATATAATAAAAAGATTTTTTTATCTGAAAGATTGATAAGTGTCAAATGCGGATCCAGATAAAAGTAGTTTTGAAGTTTCCGTTTCAAGTTATGCAGTGGGGATAAAATGAGATATTGACTTGTTAAGATACAGTTTAACCTAGTACTTCGGAGTAATCGAAAGAATTTTATCAAATGTCGTCTTTACAGTGTTTCAATGGGATTTAGACTATTATACCTTAATCTCAGTACTTATAAAAATAAATAGATAGCCATGAATATACGGGACCAGTTTTAAAGAGCTCTATTCTATTATCAATGAGTTAAGAATACGACATTCAATTCATAACTTCTTTCAAAGTTTCCCAATTACAGGATTGAACTGGATTAAACTGTATTAAACTGTATTAAACTGAATTAAACTGTATTAAACTGGATTAAACTGTATTAAACTGGATTAAACTGGATTAAACTGTATTAAACTGGATTAAACTGTATTAAACTGTATTAAACTGGATTAAACTGTATTAAACTGTATTAAACTGGATTAAACTGTACTAAACTGGATTAAACTGGATTAAACTGGATTAAACTGGATTAAACTGGATTAAACTGTATTAAACTGGATTAAACTGTACTAAACTGGATTAAACTGTATTAAACTGGATTAAACTGGATTAAACTGGATTAAACTGGATTAAACTGGATTAAACTGTATTAAACTGTATTAAACTGGATTAAACTGGATTAAACTGTATTAAACTGGATTAAACTGTATTAAAACAACGATACTTTCCTCATTTTTTATCTGATAATATATTTTTCTACTCTGTGGTTAAAGGTTTAAAGGGTACTGTTGTGAATCAGGCATGGAGTACTCTACACCATAGTTTCAGTAGAAGTAAACATTGCCATTTACTGATAGCGCGGATTGAAGGATTCATATCTCTGATTGGATAATGAGATAGATAGAAAGATAGATGTTACCGCCATACTATTTCTATTGGTTGAGAATAGACAACAAACACATAACTGAACCCTGATTGGATCAGGCGCTAATGGACTTGGCATACAGGAGTGTCCAATGAAAATATATCGAAGAGTCGTTGATTTTTATAATTACAAATTAGTAAAGAAGAAAGAAAGAAATGAGTTGACTCAGTGGTTACATTAATAATTCAAGTCTATAGATTAAAAGAGGAACTTTCAAACTAATTCGTTAAATCTTTTCCGGCTTAGAATGAATAATTAACCAAGGGCAAAGTTCATGACTGAAAATTGATCTGAATATATTCAGCCTTTTTATTTTCATATTCAAACTCGTTTTGCTGAACCATAAGTTTTTCATTGTTCTTGTGTATTTTTCCGTTATCTAAATATATACTTTGCTTGTCTGATTGTTTGTCCGTTTGTATCCAATAAATGTCAAAAACTACTTAACCGCAATCCGGCCCAAACTTTGTGTAGGACCTCACATAACCCCAGGGCCCAGGGTAGTTTTTTGGATGCTCAGAGTTACAATATATGTTTTCAACAAAAAAAATATTTTCGTAAAATTTTGAAAATCCACGAAAAAAAATCGTAAATCAGCAACAATTGTTTTATTATTGTTTCATAGAAGAATAATTGCTGAAAGATTGAGCAATAATTAAAAGTTGAAGTAGCAGATGGGCGCAAAGCGCCCTGGTAGCCTAGTTTTAATATATTTTTCTCATTGGTTTCTCAAAAAATCTAAACACATTATTTTAGTTGAGAAGCTAGGACCACATATAAAAATAAATTATCTTTCAAAATGTCCCTGAAAACTAGACTTACTAGTGTCAAATACTGATACGATTTTGTGACCTCGTAGCTTCATTAAATCTATTTTTACGCACAATTATGAGAATAAATATTTGTTTGGTTACATTGTACGTAGAGGTTTGAGCAGGCATAATTGTCCTTTCAAATATCTCTTTGATAAGAGAAGGTATAATTAAAAACATGCAATATTTATTGTTTGACGATTTGTGTTGTGTACTTGGAAGTTGGAAGTTGGAAAACTAAATATTTTGTTTGAGTGTTTTAGTTTTATAAAGTAATGAAGAAGAAGACGGGGGGGGGGATACTCCACCCCCCCCCCCCATCGGGATAGGGTTAAAGAAAATCTTCCCATCTTTGTAAAAATTAAACCAGCTTTCATGTTTCTATAAAATGATCCCGTTAACATCGTGACCTTGACATTTCTATCTTCCTAGTCTAGTACTTGTAAAGGGAGAAAGGTTTATGGTTACAAGTTGCAAGCAGGCCCATACACACTTCATTCTAAGTTCATGTTTACTTTCAAGTTTTCAGAGTGTTGTTTTGAAAGTTTTCGGGAAAGGGACTGTAGATGTAATTTCAAGTGAAGCTCGATTTACAGAATGTCACGTTAGATTTACAAAAGTACCATGTACACCTTTGTTTTCAAATTGAGGTGCAGTGACAAGTGGGTTTTTGCAGAATAGAAAATGCAGGGAAATTGCCATTTGATACGTTTAAGAAAAATAAATGACGATATTTTTTTCATCGTTTTTTAATCCAAGGTAGAAGTTTAAATTCGGACATGCTACTCAATCAAATGGTGGTTTCTTTATTACTTTTACACTCCCAAATATTAAAATTGAAAATGTGGGTATAATGTACTCTTTTGAGAAGTTCTCTATACCCTATATCTGTGCATTCCAATGTTGTAGACCTTAGATATTTCAAATTATTAATTCTGCTGCATCAAATAATCTAAGCTTGAAATAAAACAGGTTTACATTATCAAAGGTTGTTAAGATTGCAGGGATTAGAAAATTTGATTTTGTGGCGAAGACTCAATTCCTTTAGTTCATTCTTATATTAACAATATAAATGCTAATCAAACGAAGTTAAATCAGATCCAAAATTAACTCCTAACTCTCCTAACTGAGTTGAAAACTCTAGATTAATGCTTAATCTCATCTTTTGTTAATCTGCAGATTAATTTAGTCTTTATGTGACATCCAGGAAAGTATCTAAATTCAACCAATCAGAGTGTTGTTTGCAGAAACCGAACTGCCAATCAGAAGCCGGGAAATTAATGTGAGAACGTTCGTTGGTCGGAATCCAGAAGGGATATCCAAAAAGAGAGGATTATGCAGAACATCAGAATTGTCCACAGTGGATATCGAGATCGGGATTATTGGTTATCCACCAGAATTGTTTCCAGCTCTGAACTAATTTTCATTCAATTATCCTTGTTAACAAACATTGTTAGAATGTTGGAAATTCTTCTAATTTGGTTTTTACACATTTTACCCTTTTTGGTTTCACAAAGTTCAAGGTTTTTTAGTTTAAATTAGATGGTTTATTAAATGTCACGTGGATTTAACGGTTCTGTCAATATTCCAGAAAGCTATGACTTTCGATCACATTTTCCCCTATTAAACATAATTTTTCAGCCTTCTTTCTTAGATACTTTTTTTTCGGCATACACGTTTTAAATAAAAAGCATTAAACAAACAAATCCGTACGTTTAAAGATTGTTAAAATATAAACCAAAACGCGTATAATTTCAAATAGAAGAAACCGAACTCTGGTTAATCCGGGGTGATGTAGACATGCGATTATGAAAAGACGGAAAAGATGACTGTTTTTATTTATAGAGATGTAAATCATACTGTACTGCAGCTAATTGATAACAATATACTGTTAGTGCATTCTTATTCTGACCTTTTTCTTGTGAACTCTGACTTTTAAAAAAACCTTACAGAATTATCGGGTTTACTGGGCTTGTTGAAAATCCCCGAAATTACATTTTAATTTGTAGAAGGGAAGCAACGGACCAACCATCACATTATCTGCTGCAGAGGACGAGGACGAGGATGACGACGACGAGGACTTTCTTATTCAACGAGATTCTGTCCTAGAGGTAGGACAGGTGAGATAATATAGAAGTTGTAAACCTCTTTTATTATGATATTATTGGATATTGGAAAATTGTTTTTATTATTTCTAAAAAAATACGAGTGTAATAAATATCGTAGCAGAACCCATATTCGTAAACCTGAACACTGCGTGTTAACATTATCTGCACCTTAATTACATTTATTGGTTTCTCAGACTCTATCAGTCCATATCATTACCATGTAATACAATTCAGTACATGTACTATAAAACCCATCATTACTTTAAATATAAGTTAGTTGACCATAAATTGTTGTTTCATTGCGTTTTCACATGCATTAACTATTGTGCAGAGAAGAAAAGAGTTAGCTCGAGTTGTATCAGGGATACATTAAGGAATACAGAGTTGTATCAGGAATACATATTATGGAATACAGAGTTGTATCAGGAACACATATTAAGGAATACAGAGTTGTATCAGGGATACATTAAGGAATACAGAGTTGTATCAGAGATACATATTAAGGAATACAGAGTTGTATCAGGGATACATTAAGGAATACAGAGTTGTATCAGGAATACATATTATGGAATACAGAGTTGAGTCGAATTAGGNACATATTAAGGAATACAGAGTTGTATCAGGGATACATACTAAGGAATATAGTGTTGTATCAGGGATAAATATTAAGGAATACAGAGTTGTATCAGAGATACATATTAAGGAATACAGAGTTGTATCAGGGATACATATTAAGGAATACAGAGTTGTATCAGGGATACACATTAAGGAATACAGAGTTGTATCAGGGATGCACAATTTACACATGGAATACAGAGTTGTATCAGAAAGAGCTAGTTGTGTTTGAGTGATAGATACAAAAGAATACTACAGCGCGCGTCATATCTGGATTGATATGACGCTTTGTGGCAGTTTAAAGAAGAAAAATTTTGCTAGGGAAAAATGGCGACGTTTTTTGATTTGAAAATGCGCAAATTTAAACAGACACAATCCGGGAAATACGATTTACAAAGTAAATTGGCTGAAAGTTTTAAGTCTACGCGGTTCAACTATGTCTCGCTATTCCTGAAATCAGTGACCGAATTTAATGAACTTAAACTGCCGGTTAAATTCCTTTATTTCTTATCTATGTTTAATTTGTTCACGGTTAAAATCGGTAGTATAGTTAGTTCAGAGAATTAGCTCTAATTCATTAAACACGGTTCCTGGTGAAAGATTAATAATCATTTAAAGTATTGAAATTGGAAACTTTTGAATAAGTTTGAATTTAGCTCTATACTTGAGTTAATAAACTATTGAATTCATTATTAAATGTCAAACCTCAGATTTGTTTTATCTAATATTATTTCAATAAAAATTTTATTTAGAAAAAATATTATTACTTAAACTGTTTAAATCGATTAAAACATGTTTCTTTCTTTCAAAGTAAGTTTTATAAAAGAAAAAATTGATGTATTTACGTATTTATAAGAACAAACATAATTGTATATTTATAAGAACAAATATAACTATATATTTATAAGAACAAATATAATTTTATATTTATAATAATAAATCTATTGTTTATGTAGTTCCGAATTTTCATTACATTTTCATGTCCACTCATATCTATTATTTTATCTATTTCTATTTCTGATTTTATTTTAAATTTTGATTTTTTTCCCCAGGTTGGATGTGGGAAAAAGTCAAGAATTAATTCTTCTTTATCTCTTTACAGGTCAAACAATATTAATTGAAATCGAAAAATTATATTTTAAATGGACTGTAAGTTAAGGGTGATTAATTTGCGTTTTCGCATAAAAAAAATTGTGCAATTGAAAAAAATTAAAATAGTCCATAAGGTAGCGAATTGACGTTTTAACATCAGAAAAGACACCACCAAAAGGCCCCGCCAAAAAAAGGTTTTTAAAAATGTCATTTTATGCATAATTTTCTAGGAAATTTTATGCTGATTTCAAATCTGAAAAGCGAGTGAATTAGTGCTAGAAAACCCATCAAAAACATTAAAAAGTTTAAAAAGAAACAGATTTTTGGACCTTTATTTTGGTTTAACTCCTTTATTTTTTAACATTTTAAAGGCGCTTTTCAGATTTGAATTCAAGAAAATGATCTATAATATGAAATTTTTCAAAATATTTTTTTTGGAGGCCTTACGGTGATTTCTCTAATTTTAAATCGTCAATTAGCAACCGTACTGACGATTTTGTTTTTTCTTTTTAAATTCCAATATTTTGTTTAAGTGAAACCGCACAACCCCTGTTAGCTTAGTTCAAATATTGATCACCCTTACTTAAAGTGTTTTTTCCAGTGACCCGTCATTTCAAGTACCATGCCGATTTTTTAGCAACTAGAGCAAATACAGACTAGATAAGGGTCACTTCGGCGAATAAATGATCACCTTCTCTTGAAATTTATGTGGGCACTGCAAGATTCACAATGGTACAAGTTACAAGCTTTGTCTGATCAAGTATGATTTAGATGTCAATGTTTATAATTTTGAAAACCGATTTTTTTAATTGTGGGTTTGATGCATTTCTACTTTAGAAAAATAAAATAGGTTTCATCAGAATTAAACACTTTAATTCTAGAAAAACGACAATATCTTCCATATTTGGGATCAGATGATGTGTCAAGGGTTCTGTTGTGAATCGGGCTGAGCAATCTTTGTATGAAGGGTCACTTGAAGATAAGCGTACAGTCTCTTTAAAAGGATAAAAATTAATTCTTTTAGAAATATTTTCACAGGAATTCCAAACTTAATAATTCAGGGATATTCTTTAAAAGTTCAAAAAATTGTATGTTTGACAGGAATCAGCCATTTTTATTTTTGTTTTGTTTTTAGTGTTGCATCCTTGGGCAGTGCTGTTGAACAAAGTCGAGCTAGCTCAGGTCGTAGATCAGGACTATCTCCTCCACCTAGAGTTATCAGGTAGACTACTAGAGCTAGCTCAGGTAGTAGATCAGGACTATCTCCTCCACCTAGGGTTATCAGATAGACTGCTAAACCTATCTGAGGTCGTAGATCAGGACTATCTCCTCCACCTAAAGTTATCAGGTAGACTACTAGAGCTAGCTCAGGTCGTAGATCAGGACTATCTCCTCCACCTAGAGTTATCAGGTAGACTACTAGAGCTAGCTGAGGACCTAGATCAGGACTATCCTTTCAACCTAGAGTTATCAGGTAGACTACTAGACCTAGCTCAGGTCGTAGATCAGGACTATCTCCTCCACCTAGAGTTATTAGGTAGACTACTAGACCTAGATTAGGACGTAGATCAGGACTATCTCCTCCACTAGAGTTATTAGGTAGACTACTAGAGATAGCTGAGGACGTAGATCAGAACTATCTTCTCCACCTAGAGTTATCCCTCAGTTACACCCTAATTATTGAAACATTTTTTAATGGGTTATGCCGCTAAGAATTTTATAACAAGAAGCATAGTAGTCCTAAATCTCAGTAATTGTACTTAAAATTGTACTGAAGCTGCCGTATATTCTCTCAAACTGTCGAAGCTTAACAAAGGGATATATGTAGGTTACTAAAACAATATAAGAATTTCTTTTATTGTAAGTGATATTTTTTCTCGAATGAGAATTTTTTGTCTCTTTATTTTTTAAAAATAAATAAATATCCATGAAATATGCCAGGACGCAATTTGAGCCTCTGCTATGCAGAAACGAGCCTCCCAGATTTGCTTGGCAGACTAAGCCTCCACCATGCAGACCTAGTCTCTGCTATGCAGTGAACGAGCCTCCAACAGATTTTTTAAATAAGCAAAGGAATGAATGGAGGGAGGTGGAAGATATTCTGAAAAATCTTTATCTATTTTATTAATAACTTCTGCTTTAGATTGGCCAATAGATTAAACATATTTATTGAACTCATTAGTAATTAAAACTTAATCTGTAACTTTGTGAGCTGGGCAATTTGGATAGTCGATTATTAATTAAAACATAAATATATATTTTGTATTTAGTATGATGGATGCTCAAGGTAATCATGTTACGACTGAATGGAATGTGCCTGGGATGGAATCTATTGAAAATGTAAGAATTTTTA